AATGGCTGGTGGCTCATCCTCATTCCAGTTAAATGGACACCACTGTTGGTCAGGGGTCCTGTTACTAATCAGTCATGAGTGCAGATTGTGCACAGTCCAGGGTTCGTTGTCTGACTGGGATGCTCATGGCCATAATATCAGTCAGACTCCAGTCCATGGAGTGGGCAATCGTCAGTGCTGTAGGGTCAACATAAGCAGTGAGGGGAATCACATACTGTCCGTTAGGGAGCTGCAAAGATAGCAGTCAGAGACCTGAGCAAGTACGGACCTGGCGATCTGTCCGTTGATACTTCAAGAGGAGCCTATAGGGGAAGCAGAGAGATCACTGCAAGAAAGGGTGGTGAGTTAAGTCTGGGAACGGTGAACAGAGGCTTTTGTAGAGGTGGAGACTGGGATGCTGACAGGAGGAAATTCGAGGTGCATGAGGGATAATGCTGAAAAGTATAGGAGGGTATGGTAGGCACAGAATCCATGTTTGCTGGATGCGAGAACATTGTAGCAACAAATGCATGAATCTACCATTTGCAAACCCTGACTACATTCAATTTAAAATAATTTTATTGCCCATTTGTTTTGCATGCAGAGTGAAGATGTTTAGGGGGTCAGATTATGGCTAAAGGTTGCACACAATATTACTTGATCATCTGCTGGGTGCGTATAATTGCCTGTACTGAATGCAATGAGATATTTAAGAGTTTGTGGGTCTGGGTACGGAAAGTGCCAAAATGCTGCAGGCACTTCCCTCTTGATGACATTGGGTGGTCACTTAGCCAGCACAGCACCTTCACCAAATTTCTGCACATGCTAAGCCTGAATGTTAATGGATGATGGTGACATGTCCCTCATTATCTAGGTGCAGAGAACTGTGTTCAGCCTTTATCTACAGGGTAGACCAGTGATGGGTGTTCTGAGATCTAGGAGCCTCTTTTGTTCAGCTTACGTTCAGCTTCTGGGGAGATGTTGGTCACTGTGGCTGTCTACCTTGGAAGGCAAAGACAGATGTAGGAGGAGCAGGGCCAATGGCAAACCCAGGAGCAGCAACAGGCCAATATGTTGGATAAGGAGCTCCCAGCTCAAAGAGAGATCTCTGCAGGACCTTTCAAAATGTCTGGGTTGAACAGGAGGCCCAGAGATTTTCAGACCCCAATCTATTTCCTGGGGATGAGTGAGGCGCAGCACTGACACTGGCTCCATATGTCCTGGGACACCGTGATAGAACTTTGCCAGATGCTGGAGGGCTGCAGGAGTGGGAGGTCATCCTCTCTCATTGGCTATGAAGGTGACTGCCCCTCAGAACTTCTATGCTATTGGTTCCTTCCAGGGAACGTATGATAACCTGTATGAGATCTCTCAGTCCTGCCCCTACTAATGCAACAGGATAGTGACTGATGCCATCTATGCAAAATCACACTAGTTTATTACTTTCCCCAAAGATCAATTCAGTGCTGTAGCCCAGACTGTAGGATTCAGGAACGTTGCTGTGTTCCCCCAGGTGCAAGGTGCAAGGTGCAAGATGCTGATGACTGCATACACACAGCACTGAGAGGGCCATACCACAATGTTCTGGAACTCATCAACAGGAAGTGATTCTATTTGATCAATGTCCAGGTGATCTGTGATCACCATTACCACTTCCTGGATATGGATACCTGCTCCCCTGGCAGGTACCATGACTCCTATATCCTGGAACACTCTCATATACTCACTGCATTCGAGGGTCCTTACAAGGCTGGTAAGGGACAAGGAATACACACTTACTAGCAAGGTTCGTCATCCTATTGTACTGAGGTAGAGCATAGATTCAGTGCCTCCCATGTCTCAACCAGTGTTGTGGTGGAGCAGATTATAGGGTTGTTGAAAATGCAGTTCCACTGTTTGGACCAGTTATGGCAGTTTTGGTGGGGCAGGGTATGTGGGAGAGGTGCAGTGTCCCCCCCAGTTTAGTCCAACAAACCTCCTCTTGGTATATTGCACTCTGCATAATTGGAGCAGGCAATGATGCAATGTGCAGGATGTTGAAGAACTTTGAATTGGAGCAGTTTTTGAGGAGGTGGAGGACAAGGACACTGCAAGGAGCTGGCATTTTCCATGAAAGAGCTCAGCTGCATTGGGTGCCACAAGCCAGCCATTGACACCTGCTTCCAATAATTGAGAGCTGGGTGAAAGTTGACTATCTTGGTGATGGGGAAGATATGGCATTGAAAGTTATGTTGAAGATCAAATGGAACATTAAAGTTGTGAATGGTCTGATTCAGCCTCGGACAGTAGTCCAAGGAGACAATGGAATTGGAATCCATGGAATGGAGTTAGGGATAGGGATCACAAGCAATAGCTTTAATCTCCAGATATTTAACTGGAGAAAATTTCTGCTTATCCAACAGCATATGTTGAACTAGCAATGTACTGTATCATGCAATGGGGACTCCATGGATTCTACATTTCACCTATCGTTAAAAGCATTTCTGACAACAGGGTATTCAGTCACAGTCTATTTTGGTCATGGTGATTTAGAATCCAATTCATTCTTTTTTAAATCTTTCTTGTCCGCAAGATAGATGGAGTGATTTTCTAATTTAAAGATTTATGAAAACAAAACGTACTTCCTGCCCCCACCAAAGGGAGTTAGCACCACTGTATTATTTGACAAACAAACAACAATTTATCTGAGAATGCTTTCTATTCATGAGACCATTAGATATTCAAGAAGAGGTTTTTTTTTCTGAGAGTGGTTTGGTGCCTCAGGTAAATATGGCCAAATATTCCAACATAAAAATTTTTGCTTAATTTTAAGACTTCTAGGTAAATCAGTAAGCATCATCCAGATCACCAGCAAAATCTTTAGCTGTGTTCTCATATAGTATAACCAACAAACATACTTTTGCAGTTTCTGATTATTGCTCACTTTCTCCAATTTAGTATTTTCCCAATGTAAATATCATAATCAGATTTATTCTTTAATGGTACTGTCTGCAGTTCAGTCTTTTCTTGAGAATGGTAGCCATGGTGTGGGGGTGCCGGTGTTGGAGTGAGGTGGACAAGGTCAGAAGTCACACTATGCCAGGTTATAGCACTCTGAAAGATTATGATTTCAAATAAATCTGTTGGACTATAACCTGGTGTTGTGTGACTTCTGACCTTTTCCTGAGAAGATTATCCCAAAATTTGGCAATCCCAGAACCGTTAGTTGTGAGTTGGTCACTGAACAATTAGAGCCTAAGACATTGGGACTAATTCTTGCAGGAGTTCAGGAATTGCATCAATTAAGTTGCTCCTTAAAAATTGAAAGAACTGTAGATACTGGAATTCAGAACAAAAACAGAAATTGTTGGAAAATCTCAGCAGTTCTGGCATCATCTGTGGGGAGAAATTGGAGTTAACATTTCAGGTCCAGAGACCCTTCCTCAGAACACAGTTGCTTCTTAACGTCAAGGAGCTTAACTAAAATCTAAGGGAAAGCGAATGTGAATTAACTTTACACATTTTCAAAGTCTCTAGACCTACAAAAGATCAGGCCTGATCAGTATTAATTCTGCGCCTGGTGACTTCCTCACTTCAATTCATCACATGGAGAGTTTCTGATTTTAATTCATCACATGCTGACTTCTGATCTCAGCCTGGCTGACCAATAATCAGACAAACAACAGGTTAAACTGATCCAAGCAAGAACCTGGAATGCAATATTCTACTCTTCAGGTTTGCCCATCAACTGGGGAAGATAAATGGATGTGAGATATTTACTCTCAGCATATATTGTTGCTAGCCAGTGATTAATATTGGGAAAACCTGGTACAACCTATGATTTTCTGCTCAATAAAAGTGTTGTGGATAGTTCTGGACATAGGGCATTTTTGCCTCCTGGCAAGAGATGCCTCATAATGGAAGGAGCTAAAGTAAAATTAAAACAATAAAGTCATGTGAAAGAACACTGTAGAAGGGACACATCTTCCAAATTCACTTGATATGTGAATATTCTGTGCACTGGCAGCTGAACTCTAAAAATAAGGTTAAAATTTCAGGCTATTCCTTGCCAACCAAACTTTAAGAAAGATTTTCAGTTCTAAGTTTCAGTTTTTAATGCATGGATTCAAACTAGAAATTATAACAATGCTTATAAATACAACTTCATTATCCAACAGACCAGCAAAAGTCTACGTGTTTGATCAGAGATAATGCATGAAAATATTGACATCCTCAGTGCATATGGAGGGTAGATGCTGAAGGGAGAGTTCAGCTAATCTTCAAACTCTGTCACTTATTATTTGTTGTGATTGATTAGGGGATGTTTGCAAAACAGTTCAGATCTAAATATTGAAATAATATGTCCACAGTGCTGCCACAATGGCTGTGTTTTCAGCTGTATAAACGCCAAGTTCCAGACTTTCCACTCCAGGCCTCTTCTCTCTATCCCTCTGACCATCTGTTAAGATGGTCTTAAAATCTTTCTCTTTTTCCAAACTCTTGGACATCTGTCCTAATATCACTTTATGTGGCTTGGTGTCAGATTTTGCTCGTGTGACGTGCCTTGCAATGTTTTACTATTTTAAAGATGTTCTGAGTACAAATTTTTGTTAAGGCAAATCAATTTGTTTCACAGCTTCTTTTAGAAGTTATTTTTATATTTTGTGGGGATTATTGCATACTTTTATCATTTTTGAAGTTGTTGACACTTCAGGAACTTACAAAGATTACAAAATTTCAATATGGACTTCTCAGTGCCATGAGCAAGTTTTTGGTAGTCTGTCCCATAAACCATGAAGAGAATGTGAGCACTGATTTGTGTAATCAGAGATGGCCTTCGGATGAAATATGTATCACAACAGATACCAGACACATGCTGTGAGATTCGAGATCTTTCACATGGAAGTGAGTCTATCCTAATTCTATCCATCAGCTGTTTCTGTCAGTTTCACCCTGAACTAGATTTCAGAATCCGTCCTTCAGACAAAGTTGTTACAAGCTGCCAAATGCACAAGTAGCTTTTATGTTCAGAATTCGTTCTTATCCAAATGGGGAACGTTCACACCGTTTATCTTCTCATTATCTGCCTGTTTTATACAGGTAAGCTATACCTTGTTTCCGAAGAAAGTTTCAAGTCAATTTTTCAGTGATAATGATAAACATTTGAATTTACTTAGCATTGTTCTCTGATCTGTATATTAAAGGAGAGTTGTCTTAAATCTATTTTAGTTGAAATGTTCTTTTAATCATAAGAGCTTTGTGGTGTTCAATTATAAGTTTTTCTAGTAAATGGCCTGCCCAGAAGTTTAGATAAGTAATTTTAACTGTATTTTAAAAAATTTGAACTTGTGATATTGGCAGAACCGCACAACTCACAAAGCCTGAGTGCAGTTGTTGCTTGTGAATCTAATCTTGCTCCAACTTATTCCAGTAGTCCTTAAGCATCTAACAATTATAACATTAATAATATTTACATTTCATCAATGTTCATGAGTTGATGCTAACTAATTGATTTCCTACGTGTACTTCTTAACATCTGTCAAAAGGCATAGCTGAAGAGAAGTCCTAAGCGAAATTGTGTGCCACAGCTCTTTTCTTTTGAAGCACATTTTGCTCGATTTGAGGATGATCATAGCTTTCTGTTAAACTGTGTTTACTAACTAAGTAATGAATATTATTTTTTAAAAGTGATCACCAATCTTAATCATATGTTTAGGACAGCTTTACTATTTTAAATAATAGTTAGAAAATGAACTTAAAAGTGCAATTATAACGACAGGAAAAATGAGCCAGGGAATGAAATTAAAACCAACGTAGGACAATCAAATGGATATAAATCCCAAAGAGTCTTGGGACAAGCAGAGTAGGAAAAGATTCCAGCAGTCCATGTATATCATTACACTATCCAGAAATCTTTACCCTGTAGGGAACGTTGAAGTACAAACAGCAGAATTTAGCTAACTGTAGTTGGAATATTAAAAGATTCAGATCTCATTGCTGTATAAAAAGCATCAAAAGGTTCTCACAACAGGCAATAGCTAATTAGACCACCGTTGGAATGCAACATTCCGGAGCTAAGTGCAGACAGGAGCCTGACAACATTCCAGCTCTAGGCCACAACTGACAACAGGCCAAAACCATGACAGGATCACAGCTCAGAGACAGACTGTGAACAGCAGGCCAGGGCTGGCAAGAGACAGGAGCATGGCAATAGATTGGGGATTACAACAGGATGGAGTGTGGTAACAGATCAGATCTGTCAACAGCTGAAAAGAGACTAGGGCCTGGTAACAGGTTGATGTCATGCAGGCCAGAACTGGCAACAGGCTGGAAATGGCAAAAGGTTGGAGGCTGACAAAAGACAGGAAATCATTAACTGGCCAGAGGAGAGAGTTGGGTGTTATATCAATGTGAAACTGTTGAAACTCTTTAGGTTTATCTATGTTGTTTCTCAATTATGAAAATGATAAACAGCAAGAAATTCACAAAACAAAAGTCTTGTTCTGAGAGGACATAATAGTATTGCTGAAGCTCCTAAATCTTCAAGCAGAGTAATTGCGTTTGTGTGATATCTCATGATGACTCCGAAGTACAGTAATGATATTGTTCAATATTAGAGGAAAACACATTTTGCTGGTTCCCTGATGTATTGCCATCTCCTCTTGCTTTTCCTGAGCAGCTTTGAACAGCGATGATAACCCGCTGGCAGTGACAGGAAATTAATGAAGTTTATTAACTTCATTATTTACTTCATTATTTTTATGGCCAATCAGTAGCAAATATTCATGGCAATGCAATTTTGGTAGTGTCATGGGACTCATGCTGTATCAGAACCTGGGATACTTCTAGGATATGGTGGGCAGTGGTCAGAGTGGAGGGTAAGAATTGTTACAGCAGAGAAGAGGTCATTCAGTCCATCTGCATCAGGTCTCTGAGTGAGCAATGTACCAATTGCCATTCCCTCACCTTCTCTCTGTTACCCTGCACATTCTTCCTTTTCAAATATTAAACAAATTGCCTCTTGAATGTCTCAATTGAACCTGTCACTATCCCACTCTCATGCAGTGCATTCCAGACCTTAATCACGTGTTGCCGTGTAAAGGTTTCTCCTCATATTTTCATTGCTATTTTTTGGTCAATTACCTTAAACTTGTGCCCCCTGAATCTCAATTCTTTCAATAAGGGGACAGTTTCACTCATTTACCTTGTCCAGATTCCTAATGACTTTGAATACCTCTAACAAGTCTCTTCTCATCTTCCTTGCTTCATGGAAGGGTCTGTTTCCATGCTGTATGTCTCCATTACTCTATGAAGAGGTCCCAGCTTCTTCAACCTATCTACATACTTGAAGTTCCTCGACCTGGAATCATTCTCATGAATCTTTTCATCACAAGTTTTTAATTCTCTCAAGGGATGTAGACATTGCGTGTGGTGTCCAGACTTTATTGCTGTTGAGAAGGAGGTGCACACGAGTGGCAAAGCAAACCTTATGACTGGATCAGACAATGAACCTTAACCACACAGCATTTGGCCACCATTTTTAAAGGGTACCTGCATAAACATTCATTCTCTACAAGGCAGAAGCAGCATGCATGTTATCTTTATCTTATTTTATTAGGTTCTTAAAGTGGATACTTGCAGCCAAACTTTCTGATCTTTCACCTTTCCCTGGTCTGCCTGCCTCTCTTGGCCAGGAAGATGCTTGGCCATCCTCCTTAGCCTATCTCCACTATAATTCAGTCTACTTCCATTTGTTGTCATCCATGCCCTATGCAACCAAGACTACCGCCAACAGATCTGAATCATTACATGGTCTGGACGAACACTCCTCAAAGGGGACCATGCAGTGGCTACTCACTCCAGAAGAAGTAAGGCGGGTAGGCAGTTAGTGCAGGATTCCCCTGTGGCCATTCCCCTCATTAACAGGTGTCCTGCTTTGGATACTGTTGCAGGGGGATGACCTTTCAGGGTCTAGCAGCAGCAGTCAGGTCAGTGGCACTGTGACCAGCTCTGAGACTCAGAGGGAAAGGGCGCAGTCAGACAGAGCGATACTGATTGGAGACTCAGTTGTGAGGGGGACAGACAGGAAATTCTGTGGCTGCAGAATAGACACCAGGATGGTGTGTTGCCTCTGGGTGCCAGGGTCAAAGATGTCTCTGAATGATTGCAGAACATTCTGAAGGGGGATGTGAACAGCCTGAGGTCATTTTGCACATTGGTACAAATGACGCAGGTAGACAAAGGGATAGGGTCCTGCAAAATGAGTACAGGGAGTTAGGTAAGAAGTTAAAAAGCAAGATCTCAAAGGTAGTGATCTCCAGATTACTGCCAGTGCCATGTGCCAGTGAGGATTAAAAATTAGAAAGGTAGGTCAAGTGAATGCATGGCTGAGGATCTGGTATAGGGGGCAGGGTTTTCAGTTCTTGGATCATTGGGAACTCTTCCGGGGTAGAGGTGACCTGCACAAGAGGGACGGGTTGCATTTGAACCAGAGGGGGTCCAACGTCCTTACTCGGAGATTTGTTAACGTTACCCAGGAGGGTTTAAACTAGTTTGGCGGAGGCGGGGGTGGTGGTGGGACTCTGAATAAGAGAGGGGACATCAAGAAGTCAGGGGAAAATACATTTAGTTCAAAGCACGAGGCCTGACTGGTAAGACAGATGAGGTCAGAGCATGGATTGGCTCTGGGCACTGGGATATTATAGCCATAACAGTAACATGGCTGAGAGAAAGGCAGGACTGGCAGCTCAATGTTCCAGGATATAGAAGCTACAGGCATGACAGAAGTACAAGTAAGTGAGGAGGGGGGAGTTGCCCTTTTGATAAGAGAGGACATAACAACAGTGCTTAGCGAGGGCATTCTTATGGGGTCATCAAATGAGGAGATATGGTCACAACTTACAAACAAGAAGGGGATGGTTATAGACCCCCAAACAGCCAACAGGTACTAGAGGAGCAGATGTGTAGAGAGATTGCAGATACCTGTAGAAATAACAGAGTGGTATTGGCTGGAGATTGTAATTTCCCTTGTATTGACAGGGCCACCCAGAGTATAAAAGGCCCAAATGGGGTCAAATTTGTCAAATGTGTCCAAGAAAGTTTCTTAAATCAATATGTAGAGGACCCTACTCGGGTGGGGTGCGTAACGCTGGACTCCCTCCTAGGAAAAAAAGTCAGGAAAGTGACTGAAGTGTCAGTCAGAGAACACCTTGGGTCCAGTGACCATAACTCTCTTAGTTTTAACATAGTTATGGAAAAACATAGGATAGATCCACAGGTTAAGGTGATAAACTGGAGCAGGGCCATTAGGCAGTATCTAACCGCGGTCGATTGAGTGAGTCTGTTTGAAGGAAAAGGAGCAACTGGCAAATGGGATGCTTATAAAAGTGTGATATCAAGAGTCCAGGGACAGTACATCCCTGTTAGGGTGAAGGGAAAAGCTGGCAGGTTTAGGGATCATTGGCTGACAAGGGATATTGAGGCTCTGGTCAGGAAAAAGAAGAAGGCATACATTGGGTTTTAGTTATCAACCTGAAGTGAATCCCTAGATGACTATAAAAAGTGTAGGAGTACGCTTAAGAGGGAAATCAGAAGAGCAAAAAGAGGGTATAAGATGGATCTGTCAGGTAAGGTTAAAGATAATCCCAAGAGGTTCTATAGCTATATTAAGAGTAAAAGGGTGGCTAGGGAGAGAATACATCCCCTTAAAGATCAGCATTGCTGTCTATGTGTGGAACCACGGGAGCTAGGAGAGATTTTTAACGAATAATTCTCCTTTGTGTTTACTGAGGACAGATTCATGGATGTTAAGGAAATAAGAGAAACAAGTGGGGATGTTTTGGACCACATACACATTACCAGAAAAGAGGGGTTTGCAGCCTTAAAGCACATTAAGGTGGATAAATCCCCTGAGCCTGATCAAGTCCATCCTTGGACATTGTGGGAGGCTAGGAAAGAAATTGCAGAGGCCCTTGTAGTGATTTTTACTTCATCTTTAACCACTGGTGAAGTTCCAGAAGACTGGAAGGTGGCTAATGTTGTTCCATTGTTTAAGAAATGTAGCCAAAACAAGCCAGGGAACTATTGGCCGGTGAGCCTGACATCAGTGGTAAGCAAGTTATTGGAGAGGATACTGAGGGACAGGATCAACCAACATTTGGATAGTCAAGGTCTGACTGGGGATAGTCAGCATGGATTTGTGTGTGGGAAGTCATGTCTGACAAATCTTTTAGAGTTTTTCAAAGAGGTAACCAAGGGGATAGATGATGGTAGGGCAGTGTATGTTGTCTATATGGACTTTAGTAAGGCCTTTGACAAGGTCCCACATAGCAGGCTAGTCATGAAGGTTAGGTTGCATGGGATCAAAGGAGAGCTAGCTAATTGGATTCAAAATTGGCTTGATGGTAGGAAGCAGAGGGTGATGATTGAAGGTAGTTTCTCAGACTGGAGGCCTGTCACTAGTGGTGTACCACAGGTGTCGGTACAGGGACCTTTGTTATTTGCTATTTACATACATGATCTGGATGTTTATGTGTAAGGCATGATACAAAATTAGGAGGTATTGTTGATAGTGAGGAAGGTTATCAAAAATTACAGAGGGATCTTGATCAGATGGGGAAGAGGGCTGAGGATTGGAAAATGCAATTTAATACAGATAGTTGTAAGGTGTTGCACTTTGGAAAGTCAAACCAAGGTAGGACTTATACAGTAAGTGGCAAGGTCCTGAGGAGTGTTGTGGAACAGAGGGACCTAGGAGTACATGTACATAATTTATTGAAAGCGATGTTACAAGTAGACAGTGCGGTGAATAAGGCATTTAGCATGTTGGCCTTCATCTGTCAAGGCATTGAGTATAAGAGTTGGGACCCAATGTATAAGTCGTTTGTGAGGCTGCACTTGGAGTATTGTGTACAGTTTTGGTCACCCTGTTATAGGAAAGACATAGTTAAATTGGAAAATGTGCAAAGAAGATTTACGAGAATGTTGCCAGGACTAGTAGGTCTGAGTTATAGGCAGAGGTTGGCCAGGAAAAGACTTTATTCCTTGGAATTTAGGAGAATGACCTTATTGGTATCAATATCAATAAGGGTGACCTTATTGAGATGTATAAAATCATAAGGGGCACAGATAGGATGAATGCATATCGTCTTCTTCCCAGGGATGGGGAATTGAAAACTAGAGGGCATAGGTTTAAGGTGAGAGGGGAAACATTTAAGAAGGACCTGAGCGGCAGCACCTTCATGCAGAGAGTGGTGCATTTATGGAATTGCCTGCCAGAGAAAGTGGTTGAGGCAGGTACATTAGCAACATTTAAAAGACACTCAGCTAGGTACATGGATGAGAAGGGTTTAAAGGGATATAGACAATATGCAGGCAATTAGAACCAGCTGAGTGGGCATCATGGTCGGCATGAACCAATTTGGCCCAAAGGGTCTGTTTCCATGCTGCATTACTTTATGACTCTAAAGTCCAGCAAGTACAGTATCTTGCCTGCTGAACACTTCTTACAAATAATTGGGAATCTGAAGACACCGATTGCTCGGTTTAAAAGAAGTTAAATGGAAGGGTAACTTGATTCTGGTGAGATAGCCTTTTAATGAGCATGCATGATGAGCAAATTCATGCAAAAGGGCTTCCTGTTGCTTACCACTATAAGGGTAGGCATGTTATTCCATGTAATGCATTATAGGTTATCCTGCTGTTAAGTTGGAACTGTGTTCCATTAAATAATAAAGTTATAATTGTTGTTCAGTAAGCATGTTTCAGTTGAATCGGTATTTAATTGTCTGAAACCATTTTGCAGCGGAAGGTTAATTAGAGCTTAATTGTTGTTGAGTCTGCAAATTAGAACCCAATATGAAATATATTGGTGTTGACATTGTTTTATTTTATGTGAGATTCCTCATAGTTTTCTTTTAAGTCACAAGCTACAGATGTTCTAGGTATTGTGTTGATAAGATATTTAAACTATTGAGAAAATGGTTACATGCATCCCAAACACAAAGGGTTTGTGTGGTGCAGTGGTAGTGCCCCTAACAGTGGCCTGGGTTCTCTTTCAGATGTGTGCAGTAACATCTCCAAACAGGCTGGCCTGGAAGATATTTACATTCAAAATTATTTGTGTTCTTTCTGTTTTAATCTGCAGGATGTTCCGTTGGGAATGACGAAGAGAGGTTGATTCATGATCTTTTAGAAGTCAGAAAGTATAATAAAGATGTACGGCCAGTTGAGCATAAGGATGAAGTGGTGAAGATTTCATTGGGTTTAACACTCTCCAATCTCATTTCATTAGTAAGTTAACAGTAATTGAGGGGCATTGACTCCTGAATCCACAAACACAATATGTACAAATTACTAATGCAGTGAAGTAAATTACAATGTTACATTTCTGCATATTAAAGTGCTAATTTTTAAAAAGCAAGCTGTTAGCACTCAAAGAGTCTGCTAGTACTCTTCCACACATTAATCATATTTTATTTCTCTCAATAAACTTCATGATAACAAATAATATTAAACGAATATCTGGTAGATTTAGCCAGAATCTGTGCCAGGGTAGCATAAAAATTGGGTACAAAGGATGTTGTACTTGCACAGGAGCTTTTGAAAGACACCATTATTTCCAATTTTTTTACTGTATATATAGGTAAATTGACCTTTATTACAAGACGATTTGAATATCGGAGTAAAGATGTCTTACTGCAATCATACAGAGCCTTAGTTAGACCACACCTTGAGTATTGTGTGCTGTTTTGGTCTTCATACCTACTGAAGGATATATTTGCCACAGTGTGAGTGCAATGAAGATGTGCCAAACCTAACTCCTCGAATCGAGGGATTGTCTTATGAGGAAATATTAAACAGATTGGGCCTTTATACTCTGAAATTTAAAAGTAAAAGAAATGATCTCCTTCCAACCTAAAACAATTCTTACAGGAATTGACAGTGTAGGTAAAGGAAGGATGTTTCTTCTGGTGGATGGGGTGGTCAGAACCAGCACACACAGTCTTAGAATAAGGTTAGGCTATTTAGGGCTGAGATAAGAGGAATTTCTTCACTGACAGTGGTTAATTCTTAGAAATCTTCAGCCCAGAGGGCAGTGGATGCTCTGTCATTGAGTAGCTTCGAGATGGAGGTCGATGGACTTCTTTTACATATTAAAAACATCAAAGGATTTGAGGATTATGCAGGATAATGGTATTCAAGCACAAGATTAGACATGATTTCTATTTGGCATGGGCAAGCAGCAAATGTAGAACAGCTTATCAATACTTTGTATAAAGCATACATGTGCCATTTACTTGCTTCACTGTTCTATTGGGTATTATATATGGCACACTCAGTACAATTTGCTGTTCTTCTTCACACCTATTTCTAAGTTAACAACAATGACAGCAATAAAAAGTCCTGCAAGTGCAATGCATTCAGTTGACTTCCGGGATGAGAGGACTGGACAATGAAGAGAGATTGCATAAATAGGGTCTGTACTTTCTGAAGTTGGAAAAATGACAGGTAATCTTTCTGAAAGATACAAGACTTAAGGATGCCTTGATGGGGTAGATGCTGAGAGGCTGTTGGAGCCACAGGTCAGTCTCAGGGTAAGAGGGTGGCCATTCAGACTGAGATGAGAAGAAATACCTTCACTCAAAGGTTTGTAAGTCTTTAGAATTCTTGATTCCAGATGGTTTTGAATGATTTTGATGAGGTTAAGGCTGAGACTAGTAGAATTTTAGACTCAAAGGGATTCATGAGATTTGGATTTCAGGAGAGAAAGCAGAGATCAAGGATCAACCATGACCTTATTAAATGATAGAATAATTGCAAGGGTCCTATATCTTATATTCATAATTGTAGAGTGCTGAGGTTGACTACTTTTGCCAGCACCCATCAAATAATGGATAACATTCTATGACACTAGACTTCTCATAAGACTATTTCATTTATTTGTATTGAGTTTGTTCTCCTTTGTTTCTGATCTGTCACATTTTTTACAGCATAGATTCCCTACAGTGCAGGCAGAGGCTATTCAGCTCATTGAGTCTGCACTGACCTCCAAAGAGCATCCCACCCTATCCCCTTAACCCCGCATTTTCTATGGCAAATCCATCTAGCCTGCACATCCCTGTACACTACAGAGCAATTTAGCATGGCCAATTCACCAAATCTGCCCATCTTCGGACTGTGGGAAGAAACTGGAGTACCTACAGAAACCCACATAATCACTGGAGGAACGTGCAAACTCCATACAGACAGTCATCCAAGGCTGGAAACAAAGCCAGGTCCCTGGTGCTGTGAGGAAGCAGTGCTAACCACTGTGCTATCATGCTGCCCATGCTTTGGGCCTACTTTGTTTGGGTCAATGCATGTGGAGGTGCCAGTGTTTGTCTGTGGTGGATAAGGTCATCACTTGACAAAGGGACAGCGCTCCAAAAGCTTGTGGTCAATGTGTGCAGATATTCTAGCTATGGTAATGATTTGACTTTACAAAACTACACAGCATTAGATATCATGTAACCTTGTTGGTCCTGGTAAAATACCGTAAAATTGAGAGACACAGAAATTATCCCACTGTAGAATAAAATTCTTTCAACCTATCAGGTATTTACCATGTTTTAGCTTTTGTGCATCCTCTGTACATAGAACAGTACAGCACAGTACAGGGCCTTTGGTCCACAATGTTGTGCTGACCTATTATCCAATTAAGATCAATCTACCCTGCATACCCTACATTTTACTATCCTCCACGTGCCTATCCAAGAGTCGCTTAAAAGTCTCTAAAGTATCTGACTCCACTACCACTGTGGGCAGCGCATTCCACACGCCCACCACTCTCTGTGTGAAGAACCTACCTCTGACATCTCCCCATACCTTCCTCCAATCACCTTAAAATTATGTCCCCTCGTAATAGTCATTTACACCCTGAGAAAAAGCCTCTGACTATCCACTCTATCTATGCCTCTCATTATGACTTGTTTAGTGTATTCTATTTCTCATGCAATCGTTCTACAGCGCCATACTAGAACTTGTATTTCTATAGCACCTATACCAAATAAACCAATCCAAGGTACTTCACAGGACCATTATAAAGTAAAGTCTCATTCTAGCCACATGAGGAAATGTTATGACAAGTCACCAAAAGCTCAGTTGAGAAGGTAAGCTTTAAGGAGCATCTTAAAAGGAGGAAGCAGGATAGACAAACTTAGGAGGAAATTCCTGAGTTTATGGCCTAACAAAGATACAGCCACCAATTATGTCAGATCACCATTGGATGTGAGAAGCCATTTTGGAGGAATGTCAATATCATGAAGGGTTCTAGGGCAGAAGAACATTACAGAAGCAGGGAATAGTGAGGCCTTGGGGGGAAATTGAAACATGAGAATGTGAATTTTAAAAGTGAGCCATTGCTTAGGCTGACAGGTGTTTGTACAAATTAAGCTACAGCAGTAGAAAATTAGATGGCCTTACTTTCAAGGAGGTTTGGAGATGGGGAGGAGCAAACAGTGAGTTGGAACAGCCGGGTGCTTGCTCTGACTTTCATGTCAGGAATTGTCACCATATAACCTCTCTCTGCTCCATGACAAAATAGAAAATTGCATTTAATCAGGTGTGATTAGGTACTAATGAGATATAAATTCAGGCAAATGGGCCTCTTGCCACTCACTACTAAGATTCTCATCTTGCTGTTCAAATCATGGGTGGAAAATCAGGCTTTTCTCTTGACATCAAAAATGTCATTTTTCTGATCTCGCCATATTTTTAGCAGGTGATTCATTATTGCCCACATAGTCCAGGAACTAAGAAAATTCAGCACAGTCCCAAATATTGAAGGAAGATGGACTGACAACCATATCAAAAGCTGCATACATTTTGAGAAGCACAAAGAGGATTATTTTATCATTGTCACAATCATACAGGCTGTCATTTACTGTTTAAATAAGAGCTGCTTCAGTTTTGTAGCGAAAGCAGAAAATTGATTGGAGTGTGGAGTTTCGGAAATGAAAAATGGTTTGGGAGACAACAGCAAGTTCAGTGACTTTGGAGAAGGAAATAAGTTTGAAGATGAATGAAAACAAAGTTGCTGGAAACTGAGTTCTGAGGAAGGGTCACCGGACCCGAAATGTTAACTCGGTTTACTCCTTCGCAGATGCTGCCACACCTGCTGAGCTTTTCCAGCAACTTTGTTTTTGTCCCTGATTTACGACATCTGCATTTCTTTTGGTTTTTATTGAAGATGAATAGGTAGTTTGCAAAGATTGAGGGATCAAAGCCTATATAAATATACACTTATGAATGCACAAGAAACTATTGATGCAGACCTGCAAGGAAGATACCTCTTGCACTGGGAGGGTTTCTTTTAAACCAAATAGGGTTTTGAGCAGCAATTGGAACTGGCACCGTGAAATGCCAACATATGTAACTTGCTTTGGTATTTTAAATTTAATAAATCAAGTGTTTTTAATACATATCACCTCAAATGTACTTCTGTGTTCTCAATTCCTTACAGAAAGAAGTTGATGAGACACTGACTACAAATGTGTGGATTGATCATGTGAGTAAAGGAATCAAGCATGCAGCATATTTGAGTTCTCTTTTTATCATGTTTGCCTGGATATTAGATTTAGATTTAGATTTATATAATATTGTCATTTATACCCAGGTATAATGAAAAATGGATAATGTTGTCACGTTCCGGCGCCATCTTGGATTATGGAATATATTACTAAATAAATCATATAAATGGTAAAATATTGAATAAATTAATATTAAACTGATATTACTAAAACTGAAACAGCTTCAAAAGTTCATCTTTCCTTCTCCATAGACTTCATCCTCTCTGCTCCTCCAGTCAATCCCTAAAATTGAACATATTCAAAAATGGCTGACTAAAATCACTAATCAAATTTTCTCTAAAGAAGGTATTCATTAATGTCAGTGTATGAAATTTGATGACCTATATTTCAGTGAAAATATTAAGCTATTTTTAGTAAACAATTAATAATTATCACTAAAATACCAGAAAGAGAAATGTAATGCAAGTAACATTTTTATATTTACAGCTGGACAATGTGATTTCATCGCATTGATCCTTGAATGAAACCTCTCTCACCATAATGTAAGGAACGTGTTCCAGTCCTTATATCCTAGGGAACATTTCCTAATTAACATTTAACTACAAAACTCCCCAGCACAATACATTTTCCCACCTATATATAGACGTCAACATTTAGGTGTCAAAGGAAATATTTATTCTTCTTTCAATATTGTTAAAAGAGTTTGAGTGTGAAATTGGACTTGGTGGCGTCCGTTGTTTGGGTGCTACAGGTACCATTTGGAGAGAAATGTGGTGACTGATGTCCATGCATTCATACTCCGACCACAAAGCATGCCAGATGCACAGCATGTGCAATCAACATCCACCAGAAGTATACTGAGCAGATAGAACATGATGCTATAACCTTGCATGGCTGAACAAATGTTAAGCAGCAAGAACCATCACCACCACCAAACCTCCTTCTCTCCCAACTGTCCGGCCTCAGCAGAGACACAGCGAAGGGTCCTCTCGGCTTGGCATAGCGGCCTCCTGTGGTGGCCTCTCAATTTGGCGTAGTGGCCTCCCGGCCTGGTATAGTGGACTCCAGGCCTGGTGTAGCAGTCTCCCAGCATGGTGTGATAGTCTTCCGGTAGTACATGATGGTCTCTCAGCCTGGCATGGCCTCAGCATGATTTCCTGGACTCGAGCAATTCCAGAACAATCTCCCAGCCTCATGAACCTCAAGGTGAAGCCCAATGTGGTCTGGAACCAAGGCCAGGTGCGGCCTAGAGTCTAGGTGCCAGAGTGGTCTGGGTTGGAAGACCATCATTCTGAACTTTTATTTCTGCAATGCCGGACTTCTTATTTCTCTATTTTGTAAGATCTTATAACTGAAGAAGCTATACCTTTGTACCTAAAATGGCACTGTAAGTAGCGATGTATAAACCTTTCTCTGTACTCGTTTGAGTACATTTGACGATAGAGGTAATTCAATTCAATTCATCCCTAGCATACCCCAATGCTCTCGAGAAGGAATTATCATCTACTTAAACATTAATTGTTGGTTGATTTCTTTTGGCTGTTGTTATGGCTGTTCAAACATTTAGTGCTTTCCAAAGTTATTTCAAGTTTCAAAAGTCTTGTCAGTGTGGTGTGTCCAGTGGTGAGGGATTCTATCCCAAGGACACCACGCTGTATTCAAGGTGATTGCTCCATGTCCCTGGTTAATTGCTGCCGAGATGCAGTTTGTCCCATATTTCACAGTTTTAAATCTTATGCCTGAACACTCACATGTGCTCCCTTCTCCTGGGGACCGGCTGTTAAAGTTTTCCAGTGAGGCCAAGAACCCCTATCCATCGATAGATTTTTCTTAACCAAAAGTGCTAAGAGATGTTGAGCAGGCCCCATCAAGGGGAGTGACAGGTTGGTAGGTCAGGTACAAGAGGTCAATGGGACAACTAATTGAGTATATGGCCTGGGATTGTTCCTTCAATGGCCAAAGGGGAACCCCAAAAAAGGTACCACCCTTTGTCTAACACCAGCCCACTCAGCTAAAGCTCAGCATTGGTCTCCGTCCACAGTGTGGCTGCCCCTGTTGGAGATAAAATACTGGTGGGATGGGATGGGTACTCCAGTAGATATTAATGGCAATTTAAGGACCTCAACAGGCCCAAGGACTGGTGGAATGTCCAATAGCTCCACTCCCATAATAAAATGGTAGACCAGTCGGGGGGGTGGACAAACCACCCACTGCATCTTACAAACTGGCAGGGACTGTAAAATCCCACTCAATTATCTGATTTTTCATTTTAGCTCACAATTCAGTTAGTGATAAGGCCCACTTTCATTTGTCTTTTGTTCCAGGGATGGTATGATAAACGACTTACTTGGAATATGTCAGAATATAGCGGAATTGAAATAATCCGTCTACCCCCCGATTTAGTGTGGATACCGGACATTGTCCTAGAAAACAAGTATGTAAATTCATTACATCAATCTCTTTGGGAGAAGTGGATGGTTTCTGCTCATCAGAAATAATATATGTTAAACTGGGAAGCGCAGAACTACACTTGTAGAGCAACTTTTTTTTCCGTTGTTTAGACCACATCTGGAGTACTGTGTACGATACTGGTCACTGTATGTACACAAGGATGTTAGTGCATTGGAAGCAATTCAAAGAAGGTTTACTAAACTAATATCTGGAACAAGCAGATTGCCTTACGAGGAGAGGCTAGACAGGCCAGTCCTGTATCCTCTGGAGTTTAGGACAGTCAGAGTTGATTTAATTGACGTATATAGGATCCTGAAAGGACTTCACTGTGTGGATGTTGAAAGGATGTTTCCTCTTGTGTGAGAATCTAGAGCTAGGAGTCATAATTTAAAAATAAAATGTCACCCACTTAAGACAGTGATAAGAGATCATTTTTCCTCTCAAAGTCTTCAAAGTGAATCTTCAGAACTCCCTTCCTCAAAAGACAGTGTTGTAGAATCTTTAAATATTTTTAAGGAACATGTAGATAGATTCTGGTCTACTAACAGGGTGAAAGATAATTGGTGAAATGCAGGAAGGTAGAATTGAAGTTAAAATCTAAATAGCCATAATGTTATTGAATGGTGGAGGAGGCTTAAGGGGACAAGTGTCCTACTCCTATTCCTTGTTTGTATGTTCTTAAGACCTCAGCAGCACCAGCACAGCCTTCCATGTAAGAGATAGCTTATCAGAACAATGTAAGCCAGCCGTCTGAAATTCTCAATCAGTTGATTACAATTGAATGCAAAGTTGCAGGCTGTGGTTGGGGCTCAGTAAATTTCACCATGCTTCGTTTTAAAAGGTTCAGACGCAGAATTAAACAGTGGCCTCTCTGTCTTCTCAGAGCACTGTTTGGAAAATAGTGGAGGAGTTTTCCTCATGTCTTTTTCAACAGCTCAGTCAAAAGCAACACCTATAAAAGAAATGATACAAACAATTTTGCATTGCTGTTTATGTGACCTTCCTAGGGGAAAATGAACATCTGGGTTTCCTGCAGTTCTACAGTGACTACAATTCAGAAATACGTCTTTGGATATAAAGTTCTTTAGGGAAGCTATGAGGTCATGTAAACTGCTATATAATTGCAAGCTATGTTTTTCTTCCTGCTTGCCTCCCTCAAGCTGTTAGAGTGTTCAAAGACCAACTTGGTACATTCTGCACCAAGTCTGAAAGTGTGAAGGAGTTTGCTTTTCAGACCATGTGGTGTCAACTTGCAAGGCTGAAGCATTCTGCAGTTCTAAGAGAATGGTCATCTCCAGGAATGTTGCAAGCGTGTTCTCACAAATGAATCACTATCACCAGCCTATGAAGTTTTGGTGGAAAATTACACATCTCTTAAAAGAATATAAGAAATAGGAACTAAACTAGGCCATACACCTTCTGGAGCCTACTTTAGTGAGGTCATGACTCATCTTTGACCAACACTTCACTTTCCTACCTAAGGTCCCAAAACTTATTAAACTCAGCTTTGAATATATACAATGACTAAGCATATGCAGTTCTTTTAGGAGTAGACTAACCAAAGATACACAGCCTTCTTAGTAAAAACATTTCTCCTCATCATGTTAAATTATTGACTCTTTATTCTCAGATGATGACTCCTACTTCTAGACTCTCTAGCTAGGGGTCAGTTTCACAGCATTTACCCTGACAAGTCTGCTAAGAACTTTATGAGTTTCGATGAAATTACCTCTCATTCAAACTTTAGAGAGTATAGACCTATTAGACTCGCCTCTCATCATAGGACAACACATTCACTCCAGAGATTATTCTGATGAATGTTTTATGTTGAGTTTCCAGGGCAAGTATATCCTTCCTTATGGAAGGAGATTAAAACCATTCACAGCTTTCCAGTCAGGTCTAGTCTTACCAAAGTACTGTACATTTTAGCAAGACTTCCCTATTCTTATACTGCAGCCCCTAGCTATAAAAATTAACATAGCACCTGTCTTCCTTGCTTCACCTATTTGTTAACTTTGTGCAAGAACATACCAGCTTCCCTGGATAGCAAAATTTAAAAGTATCTTCACCATTTAAAACATATTATGATATTCTATACCTCCTATCAAAGTGAATAACCTTACGTTTTCCTATGTCATACTCCATCTGTAACCTTATTGTCCACTCACTCAATTTGCAGGTCTCAATTTGTGTCCTCCACACTGTTTGCATTCCTTCTAAACGCATGCCATAACCATGCCAATTGCAAATAGCAGAAGGCCCATCACTGAGGCACACCATTAGTTACAGCCTGCCAATTTGAAAAACTCCCTTTTATCCCAACTGTCACATTGAGAATAACATATATTGTGTTGTCTGGTACTATCACTGTGCTAAATGGGACAGAATTCAAACAGAACTAGCAACTAAGACTGGGCATCCATGAGGCGCAGTGGACCATCAACAGTAGCAGAACTGTACACCAGCACAATCTGTAACCTCATGGTCCGGCATATCCCCCACTCAACCATTACCAACAAGCCAGGGGATCAACCCTGGTTCAATGGAGAGTGCAAGAGGGCATGCCAGGAGCAGCACCAGGTATACCTGAAAACGAGATGACAACCTGGTGAAGCTATTAAACAGGGCTACTTGCACACCAAACTGTATAATCAGCAAGTGAAAGACAGAACTAAGCAATCTCACAAATAATGCATCAGATCTAAGCTCTGCCATCCTGCCACATCCTTTTGTGAATGTGGTGGCCAATTAAACAACTCACTGGAGAAGGAGACTCCACAAATATCCCCATCCATGATGGTGGAAGGGCCCAACACATCAGTGCTAAAGATAAGGCTGAAGCATTTGCTGCAATCTTCAGACAAAAATGCCAAATGGATGATCATTCTCAGCCTCCTCCAGTAGTCCCTACTATTACAGATACCAGCCCTCAGCCAATTTGATATTGATAAAAAGTTGGCGACACTAGATACTGCAAAGTCTATGGGTCCTGACAAAATTCTGGCAGTAGTACTGAAGGCTTGTGCTCCAGAACTTGCCATTCCCCTAGCCAAGCTGTTCCAATATGGTTACAACGATGACATCTACCTGACAATGTGGAAAATATCCCAGCTATATCATGTACACCAAAAGCAGGACAAATCCAATCAAGTCAATTACGGCCTCATCAGTCGACTCTCGATCATCAATAAAGTGATGGAAGGTGTCATCAACAGTGCTATCAAGCAGCACCTGCTCAGCAATAACATACTCACTGTTGCCCAATTTGGGTTCTGCCAGGGTCCCTCAGCTCCTGACTTCATTACAGCCTTGGTTCAAACATGGACAAAAGAGCCGAATTCCAGAGATGAGTGGAGGGTGACAGCCCTTGACATCAAGGCTGCATTTGAGCAAGTTGGTCTTAAGGATCCCGAGCAATGGGTATCAGGAGCACACTATCTATTGGTTAGTGTCATTCCTAACAGATGGTTGTGGCTGTTGGAGGTCAGTAATCCCAGCTCCAGGACATCTCTGCACAAGTTCCTCAGGGTAGTGTCCTAGGCCCAACCATCTTCAGCTGCTTCATCAATGACGTCCCTCTCTCATAAGGTTAGAAGTGGGAATATTCTCCAATGATTGCACAATGTTCGGCAATTTTTGCAACTTCTTGTATACTGAAACAGCCCATGTTCAAATGCAACAATATCTGGACAATATCCAGGATCGGGCTGATAAGGCAGGTAACAAAGGCAGTAAGGTGGCCCACTGGTTAGCACTGTTGCTTCACAGCACCAGGGACAGCTTTGGGTTACTGTCTGTGTGGAGTCTATACATTCTGCCCGAGTCTGTGTGGGTTTCCATTGGATGCTCCAGTTTCCTCCCACAGTCTAAAAATGTGTAGGTTAAGTGGATTGTCCTTGGTAAATACAGGGTTTGGGTGGGGTGTTGGGTCTGGTTGGGATGTCCTTTACAGGGTCAGTGTAGACTCGATGAGCCGAATGGCTTCTTTCGTTATTGTAGCAATTCTGTAAACATCTGCATCCCACAGTGCCAGGCAATACTCATTGCCAATAACAGACAATCTAATCACTGCCTCTTGATGTTCAATGGTGTTACCAACAATGGTGTTGAATCCACCACTAACAGCACCCTTGGGGTTATCATTGACCAGAAACTCAACTGGGCTCACCACATAAAGTGGCTACAAGAGCAGGTCAAAAACTAGGAATACTGCAGCGACTAGCTCACCTCCTGACCCCCCCATAGCTTGTCAATCATCAACAGGGCACAGGTTTTGTGTCTTGGAATACTCCCCACTTGCCTGGATGGGAGCAACTCCAACAACACTCAAGAAGCTTGACTCCATCCAGGACAAAGCAATCTACTTGATTGGCACCACATCCACTTCATCCACCATCGATGCTCAGTAGCAGCAGTGTGTACTATCTACAAAATGCACTGCAGAAATTCACTACAGATCCTCAGACAGCACCTTCCAAACCCATGACCACTTCTATCTGGAAGGACAAGGGAAGCAGATACATGGGAATACCACCACCTGTAAGTTCCATTCCAAGCTATTCACCATCCTGACTCACCATTCCTTAATTGTCGCTGTGTCAAAATTTTAGAGTTCCTTCCCCAAGGACATTGTGCGTCAACCTACAACACATAGACTACAGCACTTCAAGAAGGCAGCTCACCACCACCTTCTCAAGTGCAACTAGAGACAGGCAATAATTGCTGGCCAGCCAGCAACAACATGTCCCACAAAGAATTAAAAACATATAGTTATGGATGAGGATAAGACTGGTCCTCAGGTGAAAGTGCTAAATGAAGGAAATGCTAATTACAAAAGTATTAAGCTGGAACTGGAGAAATTGGATTTGGAGTAGCTGTTTGACGGTTAATCCACATCTGACATGTAGTTGTCGGTTAAAGGCCAGTTGATCCGAGTTCAGGACCAGCATGTTCCTGTGAGGATAAAAGATAAGGATGGCAAGATTCAGTAACCCTGGATGACAGGAAATATTGAAAGTTTAGTCAAAAAGGTAAAGGAAGCATATGCAAGGTCTAAGAAACTGAAATCAGACAAGGCCTTGAGGAGTATAAAGAGAACGGGGAAGAAAGTAAACAAGTGATTAAGAGGGTTAAAAGGGGCCATGAAATATTCTTGGCATGTAGGATTAAGGGGAATCCCAAGGCATTTTATACATATTTTAGGAGCAAGCGGGTAGCTAGGGGAAGAGTAGGTCCACTCAAGGACAAACGAGGGAATTCATGTATGGAACCACAAGAGATTGCTGAGGTCCTTAATGAGTACTTTGCATCAATATTCACTGAAGAAGAGGGCACGGACGATGGTAAGATTAGGGATGGGTATGTTGATATTCTAGGGTGTATCATTACTAAGAAGGAGGAGGCATTGAGTGTCATTAAAAAGATTAAGGTAGATTCCCACTGCCTGAAGGGATCTATCCCAGGATACTGAGGGATGCAAGGAAGGAGATTACTGGGGCCTTAACAGAGATCTTTGTATGCTCTTCAGCCAAAGATAAGGTGTCAGAAGGCTGGAGAATTGCCAAAATTGTTCTTTTGCTTAAGAAGGGCAAATTGGATAATCTACAAAATTATAGACTGGTAAGCCTTACATCAGTGGCAGGGAAATTATTGGAGAAGATTCTTAGGGACAGGATTTACTCACATTTGGAAGAGAATGGACTTATTAGGGATAGTCAGCACTGTTTTGTGCAGTGGAGGTCTTGTCACAAATTTGATTGAATTTTTTGAGGAAGTGACGAAGATGATTGAGAGGGTATGGCAGTGGATGATGTCTACATAGACTTTACTAAAGCATTCGAGAAGGTCCCTCATATCAAGCTGGTCGAGAAGATTAAGTCATACGGAATCCATTGTGAGTTGGTAAATCGCGTACAGAATTGGCTTGGTCATAGAAGACAGAGGGTAGCTGTGGAGGAGTGATTTTCTGACTGGAGGTCTGTGACCAGTGGTGTTCCACAAGGATCAGCATTGGAGGACCTCTGTTATTTGTAAAATATATAAATGATGTGGATGAAAATGTAGGTGGTCTGTTTAGTAAGTTTGTAGATAATGAAAATTGGTGGAATTGTGGATATTGATGAAGGTTGTCAAAAGATACAGCAAGATATGGATCAGTTGGAAAGTCAGACAGAGAAATGGCAGATGGAGTTTAATCCAAACAAGTGTGAGGAGATGCATTTTGGGAGGTCAAAAGTATATCGTTAATGGCAGGATCCTTAGGAGCATTGATATACAGAGGGATCTTGGGTTCTATACCTCCCTGATAGTGGCAACACAAGTGGATAAGGTGATAAAAAAGGCATACAGCATACTTGCCTTCATCAGTCAGGGCATTGAGTATAAAAATTGACATGTCATTTTGCAGTTGTATAAGACTTTAGTTAGGCCACATTTGGAGTATTGTGTGCAGTTCTAGTTGCCATATTATAGGCAGGATATGGAGACTTTGGAGACGATGCAAAGGATGTTTACCAAGAGGTTGGAATCTGTACTGAAAACAACAAATACTGGAGATCACAATGGGTTAGCCAGCATCCATGGAGAGACAGCAAGCTAACATTTCAAATCTAGATAACTTTTCATCAGAGCTGATCTCTCTCCATGGATGCAGTCTGACCTGCTGTGATCTCCAGCATTTGTTGCTTTCTTTGCCAAGATGTTGCCTGGGTTGAATGTACTAGCAACAAGGAGAGATCGGACAAATTTGGATTGTTTTTGCTAGAGTGTCAGAGGCTGAGGGGTGACCTGGTAGAATGTATAAAATTATGAGTGGCAGGGATAGGGTGGATAGTTAGAGTATTTTTTCCCAAGGTGGAAATGTCACCTACCAGGGGACATAGGTTTAAGGTGAGAGAAGCAAAGTTTAAAGGAGATGTGCAAAGCAAGTTGTTTTTTTACAACGAGGGTGGTAGGTGCCTGGAACACGCTGCCAGGGAGGCAATAGAAGCAGATACAATAGCAACATTTAAGAGGCAGTTAGAAAGACACATGAAGAGACAAGGACTAGTGGGATACAGACCATGTGAAGGCAGATGGAATTAGTTTAGAATGGCATCATGGTCAGCACAGACATGGTGGGCCAAAGGGCCTGCTCCTGTGCTGTACTGTTTTATGTTCTAATTTTTCACTGGTGACATGACTGTAGCCTCACCTAATCCTGAGATTCAATATTATCTATGCAGAATACTTTAGGATATAAACACTACAAACTGAAAGATCATTATTGTAAAATAGATGGTATAATATTCCCACAGATCAGAAAGATTTTTCATCATTTTCAGGAAAACAAAATCCCAGATCTACGAGTCAATTGTATGAAATGTAAGCTTCAAGGTTTGATGGTCAGGTGGATTAGATACTTTTTCTTCATTTCTGGATTTAATCCAGATTGGTAAGGAGGGCATCTCTGTGGGCTTGGCTGAAAACCATGTTTTGAATAGTTCAAATTCAGTTGCAAGAGAATGTGTCCAAAGGCTGTAGCTGCCCTCAATTTGATGCTACTAACCTTTTTCACTTTGAGACCATAAAATGACTGTGGGAAATGGAAACAGCATCTTGTGGAAGTGGGAGTAGATGCTTTTCTATGTCTAAGGTCAAGGTGCGTTGTTGGAATAAAGTGTTGAGTTATACCTGACTTGGTAGGGTACTTGAGATCCACCTAAGCCTGGATGCCTGAAATAATGTGTTCAATTCCCCATCAGTAACATGCCTCACTTTGGTGAGCAAAAGAAAATTGAAAATGAGAAGGCTGATTGACATTACTTGTAAGAAACCTCTCCTATTCTGTAATCTATTCACCAGCAATGATGGACAACACGAAGTGGCCTTTTTCTGCAATTTGCTGGTCCGAGCAAATGGATTTGTTACATGGCTTCCCCCAGCAATATTCAGGAGTACCTGTCCTATCAACACTCTTTACTTTCCTTTTGATTGGCAGAACTGCTCCCTGAAATTTACGTAAGTACACATTGTATTAATTGTACATATAGAAGAAATGCTGTTTCTAAATTCTAACTAAAAGAAAATGGCAAATGGGAGGAAGGGGCTGAAATTTCTTTGTGTAACCTATGTCACCTACCCAGTAACATTGACGAGAGGTTTAATCGATTTTGGTGGACTTGCTCAATTAGCAGGTAGGAGGTGAGCTGCCAGTGCTAACTGCACAGTTTACAGTACAACTAATACGCCCTTCATAGTGCACTGATAGCCCCACATGTAGGGACACTATGAGTTTCAAATCCACCTGCACCTAAGATGTGTAATGACATCTCTCAACAGACTGGTTAGAAAAAGAAATGTCTATAGAAGGGCAGCTGTTTGGGTGGGAAAAGTATCTACCAAAACAGCTGCTGGTATTTGAATTAAAGGAGCACCATGAGAGACAGGGAGGGAAGGATGGAAAGTTAGAATCCTTAATGGAAACAGCATGTTTTATTGACAGGAAAACTGTTAAAAACAAACAGCAGCAAGGTGATGAAAGTTTTCAAGTTTCAAACCTGCCCGAAAAGTTAAAGTAAATAAATGTCAGATGTGCTATCAGCTTTCTCTTACTGCCACTCATGGCGGTGATATCTATCACACTGATTGACATGAAAGTTGAGTTTGGGATTCTGCCATCAGTTAACTCCTAATTGAATGTGTTAATGAGGGCTTTGTCAGTTTTTGATGGGAACCCAAAGGAAGCTCCATCTCAAAACCACATGTGGTGGACTCCCAGTGCAAAGCACATGGCCTCTGTTTTGTTGAAATTTTCATCCTCACAGCTGTCTAACTTTATCTAAAAAACAGTTAGCGTTCACTGTTTGCAAAAAAAAAAAAAAGGTGATAATGAGGAAAATATCACCCATTACAGTGATCAATATTTCCCACCATAGTGGAGTTTCTCCTTGGTATAGACTGAGGTATTATCTGTGTTATGGTATGTTTCACATTAAATTGATCAAAGTTTGAAAACAGAGAATAGAGTGCTGGAACAATCCAAACTTTTAAGTTCAATTGTATAAATAGGGGTCTATGAAAAACATAACTAGTGAGAAGGCTGTATGTTCATGAAACATTGGTGCAAGTTGGTAGAGGAAGTGAAGATATCCTTTAAAGTGCTTTGCACATAAATAAATACAAACTCTGTATTATCTTCCAGAGTTTCTGTATTATCTTCCAGAGTTAAAGTATTATATTCCACATGTGTATAGTATGGTGGTTATAAATTCCAACTGCTAAAGTTTGTCAGACCTCGCACATAAGCTCTGTCCACCACAAACTTGATATACTGCAGGATCTCAAACTCTCCCTGCTGTTAGAATTATTGTTATTTGGACTAGAGTAATCCAGAACAGATTGATTTGTTGTTGGCACTGTTGGAACAAACAGTTCTTCAAATCATTACTTACAGATACTGTTTTGAATGACTTGTTGGACTGAATCTTCCAAAATTCAGTTTGGGACACTGACATCAAGACTAAATAGGGTTCCATAGCCAACACTTGTCATCAGTGATGCTGACAATGTGATCCTCCTAATTAGCCATCTCCATGTAGAAGGACATGTAGAAGTGAGCTCCCAATGCTGCAGGCTCAATCAGAGGGCTGGAAGCTCCATTATCCAGGATGTGTACTCTTGAGATATATTGGTGACCACTAAGGAGATGCCACACCATCATGGTACAGCTCCAACTTCAAGCGTTATGAGAGCTGGAGCTGTTAAGCTGCTTAGAAAGGAGTGGAAACTGCTCCATCACTGGGGACATGGAGATTTCAGCTCCAATAGCCCCCCCGGTCTGCAGCAGGGATACTCCTCTATTGAGCTGACTGACTCAACATGTGACTGCAAAATGTTGGCAGAGTCATAAAATCATTCCTAATTGGAGCATTCCCCACGTTAGTTGGCTGCCCCCTTCTGTAGAGCAAACACCAAATCCCAATCAAAGCACACCCCCAGGGTAAGTTCCCAGCAACGGTAATGTGTTGATCAGTCATCCTGATGTGATAAGCCTCTGGTTCCTCAACTTATTGTCTCCAAACTCACTATTGTTGTTAATACTTCTGTTACTAATCCTAACCACTGACAGAAATTCAGCTTTTGACTTTTTTTTAAAAGGTCATTTAATTACAATGCAGAGGAGATAAATTTGGAACTACAAACAGATTTTCAAAATGGCAAGGAGTTTCCTATTGAATGGATTAATATTGACCCTGAAGCTTTTACAGGTAAACGTTATTGATGCACTCTATATTTGCCAAACAACAAAACCTTAATTCAGTCAGAATAGCTAATTATCTCATTCATTAACAGAGTACTAACTGTAATAAGATAATGAGATCATTTACAGAAAAGACAAAGCACAGAATTAACATCCTTTTACAGGAGTAAAAGGAATCCCATGAATTTGTTACAGAGAAAATAAATTTAGTATGAGGTATAGAATTTAATAAATCAGCTGATGGCTGTTCCATATGTTAGGGGAGGTGACGGCCTGGTGGTATTATCACTAGGCTATCACTCCAGAGAGCCAGGTAATATCTTGGAGACTTAGGTTCAAACTAGGTGGTGGAATGGGGGTTCAATGATTTTTGTTTGAAAAGTCTGGAAGTAAGTGTCTGATAATGACCATGAAACCGTCGCTGATTTTCAGGGGAAAATCCTATCTGGTTCTCTAATGCCTTTTAGGGAAGAAAACTTTTGGTCTGGCCTACATGTGACTCTAGACCCACAGCAAAGCAGCTGACCCTCAACTACCTTCTGGGCAATCAGCAATTGGCAATAAACGCTGACCTGGCCAGTAATGCCCACGTTCCATGAAGGAATTAGCAAAAAAAATCAGAGTGGCCCTATGCTATAACTCTAAGACAAGTGGCTTGTTTTGCAAAAACCAGTATTACCAACTGAACTTGGTGATTGAACACAGGTCTGGTTATGGCAGCATACACAAATTTCAGCAGCAAACTGAAAGTTTGAAGGTTCTTCAGATATGCGTGTTTCTTTCAACATTTATGTAATGGTACAGTGTAGTACAACCAAGTATCACATGCTACTTTCCATCTTACTGTTTCTTCAAAAAGGATACAAAAATGTTAAACTATGCATGGTGCAGGAGGTCACCCAATGAAGCATGCTTTATTCACTAGACAGAACTGAAATTTACCAACCTGGTTTCCCTGTGCAGTTAATTGCTAATGTAACAGAAGATATTGGCATAAACAATTGGTCAGTCAACAGTAAATTTATCATCAGTGTTTTAGGATTTCAAATCAATTATTATTGAGACTTTTCTTGCGAAGGTTGGTTTGACTTGCCAATATGGATTTTGAGAAAGACTTTGCTGATGGTAAGAGATAGTAGAAACTGCAGATGCTGGAGAATCTGAGATAACAAGGTGTAGAGCTGGATGAACACAGCAGGCCAAGCAGCATCAGAGGAGCAGGAAAGCTGACATTTTGGGCCTAGACCCTTCTTCAGAAATGGGGGAGTGGAAGGGGGTTCTGAAATAAATAGGGAGAGAGGGGGAGGTGGATAGAAGATGGATAGAGGACAAGATAGGTGGAGAGGAGACCGACAGGTCAAAGAGGCGGGGATGGAGCCAGTAAAGGTGAGTGTAGGTGGGGAGTTAGGGAGGACAGACAGGTCAAGGGGGCGGGATGAGGCTAGTAGGTAGGAGATGGGATTGGGCTTGAGGTGGGAGGAGGGGATAGGTGGGAGGAAGGACAGGTTAGGGAGGCGGGGACAAGCTGGGCTGGTTTTGGGATGCGGTAGAGCGGGGGCAGATTTTGAAGCTTGTGAAGTCCACATTGATACCATTGGGCTGCAGGGTTCCCAAGCGAAATATGAGGTGCTGTTCCTGCAACCTTCGGGTGGCATCGTTGTGGCACTGCAGGAGGCCCAGGATGGACATGTCGTCTGAGGAATGGGAGGGGGAGTTGAAATGTTTCGCGACTGGGAGGTGCAGTTGTTTGGTGCGAACCGAGCGTAGGTGTTCCGCATATTTCGCTTGGGAACCCTGCAGCCCAATGGTATCAATATGGACTTCACAAGCTTTAAAATCTCCCCTCCCCCTACCGCATCCCAAAACCAGCCCAGCTTGTCCCTGCCTCCCTAACCTGTCCTTCCTCCCACCTATCCCCTCCTCCCACCTCAAGCCCCACCCCATCTCCTACCTACTAATGTCATCCCGCCCCCTTGACCTGTCCGTCCTCCCTGGACTGACCTATCCCCTCCCTAACTCCCCACCTATACTCACCTTTACTGGCTCCATCCCCGCCTCTTTGACCTGTCTGTCTCCTCCCCACCTATCTTGTCCTCTATCCATCTTCTATCCGCCTCCCCCTCTCTCCCTATTTATTTCAGAACCCCCTTCCCCTCCCCCATTTCTGAAGAAGGGTCTAGGCCCGAAACGTCAGCTTTCCTGCTCCTCTGATGCAGCTTGGCTTGCTGTGTTCATCCAGCTCTACACCTTGTTATCTCTTTGCTGATGGTAAGCTGTCTTTCAGCAATTCTATTTGCATATTCTGGTTTTGACATGTTCTTCTCATGCTGGACTTTCATTCTTTTCTAATGTGGGCATGTAAAGATTAATGTTCGAGTAACATTTAATGAAAATACATTTCTTCAGTCACAATGACATGCAAGTGATGTGTTCATTTGTTTTAAGTTCCTCAATAAGTGATATAGGGCGTTCTTAAGATAGAACTTTCTCAATAACATAATCCTGTATTGCTGCAAATAATTTTGCACTTTAAAAGTAAAGCACAGGAGACAAATAAGATTGAATGAGTAAATAAAACTATGAAGACTGAACTTCAAAGTAATTTTGTTTTGTTCATGGCATGTGGGCAAAGCCAGCATATATTGGGCATCCATGATTGTCTTTGAGAAGATGGTAATGATCCACTTCTTCTCAAAAACCTCAAGTCCATGTGGTGTGGGTTTACCTAAGGTGCTGTTAGGTGGGTAGTTTCAGGTTTTTGACCTAACAATATTGAAGGAATGGAGATATACTTTAAAGTCAGGATGGTGCATGAATGGAGAGGTACTTACAGGTGGTTGTGTTGTCATGCACTTACTGCCCTTTTACTTCTAGCTGGCAGAGATCACAGGTTTGGAAGGTGCACGCAAAGAAACCTTACTCTGACATGTCTGGATTATAAGGCCCAAAATGAAAGTCACAAACTAAAATTACAATATATATAAAAAAGATACAGTACAAAGTTAAAAAAATGAAAGAACTGTGGATGCTGTAAATCAGATATGAAAACATAAGTTGCAGGAAAAGTTCAGCAGGTCTGATAGCATTGTGAAGAAAAATCAGAGTTAACATTTGTGGTCCGGTGACACTTCCTCAGAACTCAGAACTCAGAACTGAGGACGGGTCACCAGGCCTGAAAACTGAAAAGTTAATTCTCTTCACAGATGCTGCCAGGCCTGCTGAGCTTTCACAGCACCTCTGTTTTGCTACAATACAAAGTTATTTTGGAGTGGAGGAACAGTTTTTATCTGTATAGCTGTCATTGCATTCTCCAAAAAATTGACTAATGTTACTTCAAATTTCAATTAAAACAAACACCAGCAAAAACAGCAGTATCACAAATAAAAGGTAAGAAACTAGTTGTCTGAAAATATTGCATTTTAACAGTATTCTTCTTAACTAGATGATCAGATGGGCAAAGAGAAAGAAAACACGAGATAACTATGTAGATTTGACTATAATAATATGCTTGGGCATGCTACATGAAGGAAAATTAGACATGAAATTTCTTAATTGTTCCTGACATCTTTATTTTTTATTTTTACAGAAAATGGTGAATGGGAAATTATTCACAAACCTGCAAAAAAGAATATCCATACAGATGTTCCTCGGAATAGCACCAAATACCAGGATATAACATTCTACCTCATTATTAGGCGCAAGCCATTATTTTATGTCATCAACATCATTACTCCTTGCATTCTCATTTCTTTTCTGGCATCATTAGCTTTTTATCTTCCTGCCAACAGTAAGTGTTCTGCTGCATTATCCTATAATAATGCATAAGTAGTTTACTTTAGTAGATATATTACCACAGCAATAAAGCTTTAGATTAAAGAAAACATAAATACTTAATTTTTGTAGAGTGTTAGATGAACCTTCAAATGGTAAAGAACAAAGTTATATAATGATTGGAGAAGGGCCCTCTTGTTGTGCAGTGGTAGTATCCTATTCCTGGACCAAGAGACTCGGGTTCAAGTCCCACCAGTTCCAGAGGTGTATAATAATAGCTCTGATCAGGTTGATCAGAAAAATAGATTAAATAAAAAATACATGATAGAGAATGTTTGTTGACTTTGGACCTGTGACAAAGCTTTACACTATTAGGGGTTTCCTCATTTCCTAATCAGGTTGGCTGCAGACTAACTAATAGAGATAAAGGCCATACAAGAAAATTACAGCTAGCACCTAACATGCATTGTTGCCAGCCGTGTTGAGAAAGAAAGACTTTGATTTATAGGGCAGTTCACAACATTAGTGTATACCAAAGCACTTTAAGCTAATAGATTACAGCTGAAGTACTTTTTGAAACAAACCCCAGTTTCCTTGGAATAAAAACGGAATATCGGCCATGATCGAAAAATGGAGCTGACATGTTAGTCTGAATGGCCTAATTCTGCTCTCATATCTTATCTTTTGTCTTGTAGGAAATGCTGCAAATATCCAGCAATTCTCTCCGCCAAGTGTGGAGAGAGAAACAGTTAATGTTTCAGGCCTGTAAACTTTCATCAGAACCTTGTTGCCTAGGTCAACTGAGGATTGCCATCATATTGTTTTTATTTCAGATTTCCCTTCCACAGCATTTTGCATTTGGAGTGATGTTTCCTTGAAACAGTTTATTGTATGTCTTTTTCGGGAAATAATAATTATGTTCCAGTGATATTGCGCACCCACCGTGTAATCAGCATCTTGATTCTTGTTGCCAAGGGCAACCATGGATGAGGAATAAATGCTGGTCTAGCCAGACACATCCACATCCCACAAATGAATTTTAAAAAATAAAATAGCACTGCCATGGAAATGCCAATGAAATATAAAGCATCTGCATGCATTCATTTGAGACAAATACATTTCATTTACTTGGCAAGTTGTTTGACATTCTCAGTGTAATGAATCTGAATCACAAACAAGGGAATACTCAGTTCTCCACTGAAAAGTCAACTCCACCTATAATCTCACTATGAGACACCAAAAGGATAAGTACATTTATCTGCTATTTCAGATGCCAGAGTACAGCTCACTTTTTGAATAATTGTTTCAACTTGTTTGACACCAGGAAAGTTGACGGTAACAATTTAATCATTGAAGCATGTCAACTATTTGACAATGATATTCAGTATCATGGTACCACAATGATGGTCTGAAAATTGCCCAGAAACGTCAAACTCAGCTTGGCCAGTTAGGCCCCAATCAGCCTTCTTTCGATCATCAAGGTGATGGAAGGCACCAACAACAGTGCTATCAAGCAGGGGTTGCTCAATAAAACCTGCTCACTGACACCCAATTTGTGTTCTGGCAGGGCCATTTGGCTTCTGACCTCATTAAGCCTTAGTTCAAACACAGAGGAAGGATCTGCACTCCAGAGGTACGGGGAAAGTGACTTCCTTTGACATTAAGGCAACATTTGACTGAGTGTGGCATCGACGACATCAGCAAAACTGTAGTCATTTGGGGGAAAGCATTTGCTAGTTTGAGTCATACCGCGCACAAAGGAAGATGTTTGTGGCCGTTGGAGGTCAGTCACCTCAGTGTTGGAACACCACTACAGGAATTCCTCAGAGTTTTTTTAGGCCCAAGTATTTGTAGATACTTCATGAATACTCTTTCTTCCATCATAAGGTCAGAAGTGTGATGTTCGCTGACAACAGCAAATGTTTAGCACAATTCATGGCTGCTCAGATACTGAAGCAGTTGTTTCTATATGGAGCAAGATCTGGACAACATCCAGGCTTTGGCTGATTAGTGGCAAAAAGCATTCATGCCATATAATTGCCAAGCAATGACAGTCTCCAACAAAAGAGAATCTAACTATCATCTCTCAATGTTAAATTCATCACCAAATCCCTCGCTATCAACATTCTGGACATTACAATTGACCAGAAGATGAAATGTATTAGCCACACAAATACTGAAGCAGTTCAGAGACTATAATTTGACAATCAGTAAGCCCCCTCCTCTTCTCAAATCCTGTCTATCATCTACAAGGCACAAATATATTTCAAGACTAGGAGTCTTTTAAGGTGAGAGGAGAAAGGTTTAGAAAAGACATGAAGGGCAATTTTTTTGTGAATGGTTTGTGTGGGGAATGAACTTCCAGACAAGTGGTGGATGCAGGTGCAGTTACAATATTTAAAAGACATTTAGAAAAATACATGAATAAGGATTGTTTGGAAGGATTTGGGCCAAGTGCAGGCAGGTGGGATTAGTTTAGATTGGGATTATGGTCAGTGTGACTGGTTAGACTGAAGGGTCTGTTTCCATGCTACATGACTCTATGACTCTTTATGTCAAGAGAGTGATAAAATACTCTCTATTGGTCTGGATGAGTGCAACTCTAATAACACTCAGGAAACTTTCTCCATCCAGGACAAGGCAACTCACTTGATTAGCACCACATCTGTTACTTCAACATCACTCCCTCCACTACTGAAACAGAATAGCAGCAACGTGCACCATCTATAAGATTCACTGCAGCAACTATCCAAGGCTCCTTTGATAGCACCATCCAAACCTGCAATTTCTACTGCCTAGATGGACAAGGGCAGCAGCTGTATGGGAGCACCATCACCTACAAGTTCCTCTCCAATGCACATATCTTCTTTACTATATTACCATTTCTTCACTGTCTCTGAGTCAAAATCCTAGAACTCCCTTCCCAATAGCACTGTGAGTATTCCTACATTCCAAGAATTGAAATGGATCACAAGGTCAGTTCACCACCTCTTTCTCAAGGGCTATTAGAGATGGATAACAATTGTGGTCTAACCAGTGAAATCCATATCCAGTGAATGAAAGAAAATCTCTCCTTTACTTGTGAAAGGATGTAGTGGCACTGGAGGGGGTACAAAGGAGGTTCACTAGGTTGATTCCGGAGTTGAGGGGGTTGGCTTATGAGGAGAGACTGAGTAGATTGGGATTACATTCATTGGAATTCAGAAGATTGAGGGGGGATCTTATAGAAACATATAAAATTATGAAGGGAATAGATAAGAAAGAAGTAGAGAGGATGTTTCCACTGGCAGGTGAAGCTAGGACAAGAGGGCATAGCCTCAAGATTAGAGGGAGCAGATTTAGGACTGAATTGAGAAGGAATTTCTTCACCCAGAGAGTTGTTAATCTATGGAATTCCTTGCCCAGTGAAGTAGTTGACGCTACTTCAGTAAACGTTTTTAAAGAAAAGGTAGATTTTTTTTGAACAATAAAGGAATTAAGGATTACGGTGAGAACGCGGGTAAGTGGATCTGAGTCCACAAAAAGATCAGCCATGATCTCATTGAATGGCGGAGCAGGTTCGAAGGGCCAGACGGCCTAGTCCTGCTCCTAGTTCTTATGTTCTTATGTTCAAAATTAATTATTACCGATGACGTACTTTTGAATTGTTATGTGTCAATTAGCACGCGGTGAAATTCCAAACAACAAATAAGATAAATAGCTTATTGAATTTTTTTGTTGGTGTTGGCTGAAAGATGAGTGTTGACCAAGGTTAGGTAATGCTTGGGGATCTGTAACATTTATCTGCTCAGGAAGACAAAATCCCACTTTAACATTTCTTCTAAAAGACGGTCCTTGTGACAATCCAGTATTGCTTCAATACTGCAACAAAATACTAGCCTAGAATGCTACCAAACTCTTCAAGTGGGGATTGAATTCACAATCTTCTGATTCAAAAAAGTGAAGGTGCTAACAAATGACAGAAAACTATAACATACAACATTGCTTTATCTTGGGAAGCAACACCCATTGCAAAATCATTAGAGAAACTTCCCAGAATTTCTTTATTGTAATGTCATTTCATCATGCAACGCTAACAAAAATTACAATACTTTTAACTTTTAAAAATATTTCAGTCTTCATGCTCAGGAACACATACAAAATAAGGAATTACTTACAAAATTTACATTTTTTTTCTTCTTGGCAATGGTAAAATTCACTTCATCATACCTGAAGAGGATGTCATTGATGTTAAAAATTGGTATGTCACAACTGCCATTTGGCCATTGGATCTGGATCTCAGTTCTGTCTTAGATCACATCTTTAGTCATGCTACACCATGTTTAAGATTGAACCCTCATTCCCAAGTAGCATTACAAGAATTCATTGCTCGAGAATGCCCAAAATTCAGGCATTTTATTTTATCAAATCCTTGTTTCAAGGCATTTCGTTTTTACTGTACATTGGGGTTTGCAAGAAATCCTGCACCCTTGAAGTAGGCAAATCATTCCATATTTCTGCCATTGGTCATACTCATCTGGCTGTAAAGAGTTAATGTAAGCTGAATTAAAGATAACTTCCTTCTCTTGGCAAGTGGCAAGTGTCATTTAGTGTCTCACTTAAACTATATGACCAGATGTGGAAGTTTTTACAGGGAATGGAGAGATAGGAATGTTTCAAGTTCAAACCCATCACTTTAGATTCCATGCTAGAGTATGCATGCTAGAGAAACAAGCAAAAAAAAAAATGTTTTCAACATGACATCAAAATATGCAGATTATCTAACAGAGGTAGAATAACTCAATGAAATGCAAAGCTTCAAACTTACTTATTTATTGACATTCTTTTCTCCCTTCTTTTTCAGGTGGTGAGAAAATGACCATGTCTATTTCTGTCTTACTTGCTCAGTCTGTCTTCCTGCTGCTGATTTCTCAAAGATTGCCAGAGACAGCTCTAGCTGTTCCACTAATTGGCAAGTGAGTGATTGTAAGCTGCTGCAATAGACCATGAAAAATTCCAAACCAGTTCCTGGTCCAAAATTAGTTGCAGAGGTACTGCATGATAACATGATGATGTCTAGGGACGGTGAGACTTTCAAGCCTGCATCTTCTTGGATTCTAAGTGCACACACAATAAGTCAACCCTACTAAATGCAGACAATTTACTCAGTTGAGTCAGAAAGACAACCCTTACCGAAATGCTGACAGGTAAAAGGTAAAATCACCATAGTCTCACCAGACCATTGGCTGCTGTCTCATTACAGAGAGACAACTGTTAGTAGTTTAACTTGAGGGTCACTACACATAAGGCGAGGGAGAGGTTGAGAAGGAGAGCCCTTCGTGGCAACCTCAACCAGTGTGACAGTTGAACCCATACTGTTGGTATCAGCCTGCATTACAAACCAGCATCCAACCAACCGAGTTAATGGACCCCCTCATTCACATGTGCCCAGCATATAAAAAGCAACATTTTGGATGAGTAAAGTTAATTAGAATCATACAGCACAGAAGAAGCCCTTTGGCCCATCAGGTCTGTACTGCCAAAACTACACTAAATCTACACAAGTCCCATGTTTTCTGCTCTAGGCCCATAGCCTTGAATGTTATGACATTTCAAGTGCTCATCTGAGTACTTTTTAAAGGTTGGGACGTTTCTCACCTGCACAACCCTCCCACGTAATATAATCCAGACCACCACCAGCCTCTGATTGAAAAATGTTTTCCTCAAATTCCCTATAAAGTTCCTGCCTTTCATCTTAAAATTGGCCCCCTTGTTATTGACCCTTCAAAAATATATATATAACAATTGTATGCATAAAATGGGGGAGAGGGGAATGATTTCCCTGATTGTTAATGTACTGAAACACTTCACAAATGGTGCAGGGTTTTTTTTTTAAATCAAAGAGCAAAATTGAGTGTGTGACATTTCCACCATGACACTGCTTCCTTGGATTCTCACCTTTTCAACCACAGAAATTCAACACAATCAAAGCAAGAGCCAATGGTGCAGCAGCTTCATTTTCCCTGTTCTTGCACTTGTAGGGAGTGCTGCCTGGTTTATTGTTTATGAGCTCCGTGGTTCTGACGCTAGTCTTATGTAGTGGAATGTGGTGTGGTGGAAAACACAGGAGGCAGATGCTTCAAAGGCAAAGAAAACACTGATTTTATTGAAAAAAAAACAAGCAAATTGAATATATTTACAGAAAACAAGAAAGTGAATAATAAAACCCAGATAACTCTGATTGAGACCTGTCTCCCAGTTAACTGACCTTCAGTTAAGCCTTGCAACCAAGGCTTGATACAATGGGCAAAATAGATACAGTGGGTGGCTGTTACTTATGCTAACAGGAGAGAGAGAGAGAAAAAGAGGACCTGCTGACCTATTCCACTTCCCTTCCTGAGGGCTGCCCTACACCATTAGCCCTCCCAAACCCCACCTTCCCCTATCTAAGACTAGCCAAGATGTGTTAGAAGGTCTCGATGACCTTAGGCTCAGTCCTAGTGTGAAAACACGATTTTGATTGGCTCTTGTCTGTAGTCACTTGCTGTAGCTGGGACTCCACGAAGGGCCGCAAGTATCAGTAACAGTCAGTCTATTGGTGTCCACTAATGCAGTTACAGATGCATGGGACCAGACTGGTGAATACCTTAGGTTTTCTTTCTTTTCTAGTGATCCTTGCGAGTGGGTTGTTATCTTGGATAGCGGTAAATGTTGCTGGCATTGCCCCGGTCAATGTGTTGGGTTTCTGGATGCCTTCGGTTGTCTCTGGATGTTGAGTGGAAGATCATGGTTAGCTGCTGGTCTTCAGTGGTTGCGAGGGCTGCTTTCCTTCATGTGCGGACCTGCTTTTTGCTCAAAGTCTCCTCACAGAGCCCACCTCAGAGCACACACCATGTTGGAGTCAGGGCACATTGCTAGTATCACGCTATTTCTCCTTCTCTTCCTTCTCTTCTTTCACTCACTTCTCTTCCTTGCTGGGCTCAGGGTCTCCAGTTGCACCCAACTTCAGGCCCCCTTATCTCCTGTCAAATCTGTTGAGCTATTGTTCCTCCTCTTGAGGCTGAATGGGCTTCCTGAGCACTGGAGTAGGTATGAATGGTTTTTTGATTGAGGTGAATAGTTTTGATGGTTTTGGAATGTCCAGTATTTCCCTTGGATGGGTATTATTTCAGGTTTGAATATCTTCAGGTGTGAATGTCTTTACATCCATAGGTGGAACATGTTTACATCTAGCACAACGGTGTGGAATGTTCAGTATTTTTGTGCCTGAGCACTGATTAGAAACTGAATGGCTTTGTACCTCTGACAACAAGGTGCAGGGCTGGATGAACACAGCAGGCCAAGCAAGCCTCTCTGCTCCTATGATGCTGCTTGGCCTGAGCCTCTCTGCTCCTATGATGCTGCTTGGCCTGCTGTGTTCATCCAGTCCTGCACCTTGTTGTCTCGGATTCTCCAGCATCTGCAGTTCCTACTATCTCGGCTTTGTACCTCTGTAGGCTCCAATGGTTCTGAAGTTGTTTGTTTCCTGCAGACTGGCTTCCATTATTTTTATGCTGGGGCATGAACGGGGGCCTTCTTTTAGTTTCTGCAAGCTGTTTCAGACATCTGTTCATGGGCTTGCATATTACTCTGTATCCCAGCCAGCCTGTTCCTGGTTCAGTTGCAGCTCATGCTTTCTTGAATCCCAAAAGTTCAGTGAATGTAATCCAATGTAATTTCCATAACTTCTGCCCTCAGAGGGTTTTAGTCTCAGGTAAGTCAATAAACTGATGGGGATTTTTGCCCCACCTTACACATTCTTAATGCTCCATAGCCAACTGAGATTGATACCAAGGTCAGCAGAAGTGTTGAGTTTCTAAGCTTGATGAGTTGGGAGAGCAATTTCTTTAGCAACAAACATCTTTTTTAACAAAAATTTTCAAATTCTTTGTTCAGATAATCTGAACTTGTTTCCAATTTTTTTTTTAGCCCTTTCTCCCCAACCATCCCTCCACACAGAAAAAAGTTCTTGGAAACAGGTACACAATGTCATTGGGAATGTCTCTCTGCGACATTGTCATGGAGAAAGTGGGGAAGCATTTCAAGATGGGGCAAAGTAGTCTTGCAGGACTTAATGAGGATGCAGTCTGCTAGATGTCATATGACCTCCACAGAATATACTGTTATTTGTGTGAGGAATTGTGTAAAAGCAACAGGGTAACTCTGTTATGTACTGCCTGAGGAGCTACTGACATTCTTGAATTATGAAACAGCTCTCATGGGTTGTCAAGGTGACCACCACACTCAACTTCAGAATGACATAGATAATGACCGCACAAACAGCACCAGAGCATTAGTTTCAGATGTTCACCCAATGGTAGAAAAAATACTTCGCAGTTAGGAGTAATGGGCAACTTTTAGACTTGAGAATGGAATTTTCATATCAAGAAAATAATCTACTGTTTCTATCAGCAAATCAGCCTCCATTTGTACAATTTGAAACAATAAAAGGTATTATTTTGATGAGAAAATTTTGATCAACCTTACTTGTTTTATTTTTCAGATACTTGATGTTCATAATGATTCTGGTCACCATTGTGATAGTGAGCTGTGTCATTGTGTTAAACTTCCATTTCCGAACTCCCAACACTCACGTTCTCTCATCCTGGACTAAATGGGTACAGTACTGCCTTTGTGTGGTGTTCAATTTCTCCCTTTAAGTAACAAAGCAGTATCACATTCCTCAATGAGGAAAAGGCTGAATTCTGCAGAATACCCAAACTCCTTGCTTTGATTTGGAAAAGTGAATTAGAATAAAACTCTAAAAACACTGACATCAACAGACTATTAAAACAATGTCCATACAAAACTATTTATCAAGTTAAAATGTACAGTTCAGAATTCCTCAATCCGATATTAAAGTGGCACAGGAGAAAGCAATATATTCAGGATGAGGATGGGCTCAGGTGGATTCAATAATTCTGGTTGGTACAGTACCAGAATGGGAATATCTTGGTTACCCACTGGAAGCAGGAAATATAATGCTGAGAAGCACACTGAGGTCTTCAGTACCACCTGCCCTTGAATTGCAACTGCAGTGGTAACTGTCTTCACTGAATCTGTTCTGAACCTTCTGAGGCATATAACACTAAAAGCAAGAATTTAATTTTTATTACTCCATTGGTTTTCCTCTCCTCAAAGCAATAGGTCTCTCCTTGGTATTAGCTCCATGGGTTTCCATTGGCCTTTGTGACACCAAGCAAATAGCCATTTTTCAGTTTCACAGGCAAGAGGGTTGACAGGTTCCTACAGGGCATTTCCAGTCCTGTCCTCTCACCTATCAACTATATGTACACTTTCCAATAGAGCTCCTGGCTAACAATTGGGGTGGGATTTAAGGACTAAAATTTTCCTCTCTTAAATCAAGACGGATGAGGTAAGCTACCTCTTCCTGCTCAGATCAAACGACTCAGCATAATTTGGGATTTAAACTTGGAATATCTTGGCTTGTAGAAGTTACCTCTCACTGTATGGACTCAATTATCTCAATTATCAAGGAAAGCCTTAGTTGAACGTTTAATTTGAAATTGTTTTTATTTTGATTTTATGCTTCATTTCCCAACAAAGAGATTGTCAGTATGTCTAGTTCCAGGCTTCTAGTGGGATTTCTCTTAAACCAGTCATTAGAAGCATGCTAGATTGACATAATGCTCAATTGATTTTCTCTCCTGCCCTTTGAGTAGAAATATTTACCTTTAACTTCCTTCTGACCCAGGCAGTACAGCCTATGGAACTTGCAGAATGGAGAATTCTGGTGTAAAACTGGTACCCTTCCACGCAAAGCAAAGTACATTAAAGCCTCAAATGTACTTTGTCAGTATACTCTGGTTAACATTAAAGTGGAGCTCATATTAGAGCTTAGTAAATGTAATATGCAGGTAAAACAAATTTGCACTTTACCTTGCACGTGATAACGTCTATCATTAAAATCAAGTGATTTCAGTTAAAACTGTATAAATCTGTATAATTCTACTCTGATTTTCTAGCTGTTTTTGGAAAAACTCCCACGGATCCTACTCATGTCTCAACCTGATGACAGTAACTCACCACCGTGGGAGAACGGTGTGTTGCAGCGACGCAGCAGCTCCCTTGGATACATCATTAAAGCACAAGAATATTTCACTATCAAATCCAGAAGTGAACTTATGTTTGAGAAACAATCCGAACGACATGGATTGAAGCCACGGGCCACTCCAGCTATCAGTGAGAATCAACAGCATTGAAATCACATGGATAAGTTAATCAGATTCCAGCCAATCTAATTAAATAAAGCTTCAAAGGTTTATATGACGCCGTGAAGTTTGGCTCTTCAGCACTTTGAGAGACTCGGAGATTTCCTTAGTTGAATTCCTGCCTTGAACAGTGAAAACACATTTAGCATAGAATGTATAACATAGAACAAAAACTAATTTGCACTGTTAATTTGAATCCTTTGAGTTTCAATTTCAAAACATGGCTCTTGAATCTGAATTAACTGCTTTGCAATATTATTTAAATAAATTTAGTTATTTTTCTCGAATTGTAGAAAACGTTATGAGCTGATAAGAATGATGCATAATGTTCTTAATTATAAGATCCAGTTTTCAAATTAAAATATGCAGTTGTAATTTATAAAAAATATTTTAAAAATGAATTTTACTGATGTCAGCAAAGTTCCCTTAAATTTAAACTTCCTTTGCTTGAACGTAATTATCAGAGCAAATGGGAGAGACTGAATTTGATTTTCTTAAGTGAATTGTGTATGAATTAGCCTCAATAAGACAGAAACATTTTATTTCGAAATCCTTTCCAACAAAAACAATTCATTTTTAAAGCAGGTCTGAAAAGCAGTCATAATGATAATGAAAACATTCCAGATCAGCTGTATTCCGAGCTGAAGTCAGGCATCGATGGGGCTAACTTCATTGTGAAACACATTAAGGAAAAGAATGACTATGATGAGGTAAGGTTTGATGAACTAGAAAATCATGCATTAATCAAACTTTTCTTCAGTTGATATCTTTTGCACTTAAAAAGTGAAATTTTAATAATGTTCTCACAGATGGGAATGATTTCAAAGGCATTATGGGATGATGGAAAACAGTGATTAAATGGAGAAAGAATAGAGAAACATAAAAAATGGTGAATTTTTAAAGGTCACTCGAACCTAAATGTTAACCCTGATTTCTCTCCACAGATGCCGTCAGAAATGTTGTGTTTTTCCAGCTATTTGTTTTTGTTTCTGAATTTTTGAGATGCCTTCAAAAGGGAAAGGATTAACTGCAATATAGTACAGCATCACAGTCATCACAGCACATTCAGTCATCACAGCAAAAAAAAAGCAGATCCCAGAAATCTGAAATGTAAACAGAAAATGGTAGAAAAACTCCGAAGTTCAGCCAACATCTGTGGAAAGCAGAACAGAATTAACATTTGAGGTTGATGATCGTTTGTTATTTGTTTGAATCATTACTTGTTGTGGGACCAATATCTACTCACTGAAGAAACAGTGTTGCCCAATGAATAATAAAAGCTTATTGTAATGGTCTACAGATAAAACTATAACAGAATGGATTAAATTGCACAGAGTAATGTTTCAGGGATGGTGTTTAGTCATATTAATAATATTGACTAAAGAATCAGAGATTGGTTTATTCCATGGCAAGTTGATTTAAAATAGTAAAATACATACTATGTCTCCTGACAGCCCTGAAAGGTTCATATTTGCATATGTGGAAGGTTCTACACATACACACTTTGTGAATCACTCTGCCAGTAAAATAATATGGTGGCATCCAAACAATCACAATAAATATGAGTGAAGTCAGTACTGGCAAGGATACTTGCATGCACATTTTGCATATGTACTGAGAGCATTTTGGCGGTGCCACCAACATTCTCTAAATTACAAGTCATAAAATGAACCTTACAGCAGGGTAACCTGTTTCAGTCTCAACACACTCTCAATCAGACTGGCTGGTAGGGGGAGTTGCACAGCACCTGGAGTCACAGACATAGAATCATACAGCACGGAAACAGGCCCTTCAATCCAAGCAGTCCATGCCGAACATAATCCCAAACAGAACTAGTCCCACCTGCCTGCTCCTGGCCCATATCCCTCCAAACTTTTCCTATTCTTGTATCTATACAAATGTCTTTTAAATGTTGTAATTGTACTCACATCCACCACTTCCTCAGGAAGTTCATTCCACACACAAACCACCCTCTGTAAAAAATTTGCATCTTGTGTCTTTTTTAAATCTCTCTCTTCTCACCTTAAAAGTGTGTTAAAATCCCCCATCCTAGGGAAAAGACAACTGCCATTAACTCTATGTATACCTCTCATTATTTTTTAAACTTCTAACAGGCTGCCCCTCAACCTCTACACTTCTGTGAAAAAAAGTCCCAGCCTATCCAGCCCTTCTTTATAACTCAAACTTTCCAAACCCAGCAACATTCTGGTAGATCTCTTCTGAACCCTCTCCAGCTTGATAACATCCTTCCAAAACTGGACGATCAGAATGGGAGACAGTATTCCAGAAGAGGCATCATCAATGTCCTGTACAACCTTAACATGACTTCCCAATTCTTATACTCAAAGGACAAAGCAATGAAAGCAAGTGCATCAAATATCTTTTTAACCACCCTGTCTATATGTGACACAAACTTCAAAGAGTTGTGTACCTGCACCCCAAGGTCTCTCTGTTCTATAACACAACCCAAGAGAACGAGTGGTTATGTGTTCATGAGGTCAGGCCTGGAAGTTAATTGCAGGCTGCTTTTTGTTCAAAGTACTCAAAAGACGCTTGGTTCCAGAGAGACATTATATTCAAACAGATAACGGATGCCTGAATATTAACTGGGGCCTCATAGGGAGTTATGTTGCGAAACAGTCTAATAAACAGAAAGAGAAACCAAAGTTTGAACTCACTCTTGAGCTGCGTTTAAGTCGGAAAGATTGCGCCTGTATAAGTTGCAGGAAGGAAGTTTGATTGCTCCCTGGTTGTTCTCCCATTGTCAACTTACTGAAAGTTTGGAGAATAGAATCTCAGTTTTAAGTATTAAGTGAATATTCCTTGGTGCCTACTGGAAGCTTGTTGCAAGCATTGGCATATTCAGAAACCAAGCAAGATACAATTCCATGTGATGTTATGGATCATGGAGTCTGCTGAAGTGAACTGGCCAGTTAAATCTCATTTAATTATCCCTTAATTGTGTTTGCTTATATGTCTGTCTTTGTGTAAGAAGATTTAAATCTTTAAATTTAAATTTAAATTTAAATCATAGACATTAATTAGATGACTTTGTTGCTTAACTTTACTCTGCTAAAGTTACTGTATTATTAATAAATTGTTAATTATTTTGTTCAAGCTATAAACCTGATGTCTGGTAACAGTTATTCACAAAGTCTAGTACAGGTTATTAAAAAAAATTGGTTAGTAATCATTGGGGGAAAGTTTGAGGGTCATTGAAGATTTTAATCTTACTGTGTTGCAAATACAGAGATAGGGAAGCTGATTTTATTTGGCCGTCTTCATGTCGTAACAGTGATTACAATTCAACATTTATGACACTGACAATTTCAGAAGTAACTAATTGGCTGTAAATGACTTTAAGATATAAGGTGCCTTTCTTTTTATGGATAGGTATCATTTTTTATTTGATCGCTCTCCTGTAGAGCCCTTTGGAATGTTTTCCAAAGCCATATCTACATTTGTGGCCAATGTCACCAACAGTTTATGCACAAAATCAGAGCATTGCTTCTAAAATCACATCCAGCAGCAAAGTGATGTTTATCAAACAATTCATCTAATTCTATATTTGATGTAGAAATAACTATAATTTGTTCCACAGTTAAAACGAATCAAGTCAACCTGAATAATTGAGTATTCCTGATAAGATCCTTGAAGAAAATGTTAACATTAAAGTTGATTTGATTTGTGCTTTTCTAAATTATGAATAGGCCAAGCAATAGCCATCTGCAGCAAAGTAATTATTTCATTTTTAATGCCAATTTAAGAATCTTGGAGCAGCTATTTCTGATAATCATTGCAAGTTTTCCTTTAGTCACTGTTAGCAATAATGTTACATTGGTCTTGAGCTGCCTTTGGCATATCTTACCTGTTACCAGATATAATGGGCTTAAGATACAATAAATACTACGTGTGATTTACAACTTTCTAAAAGTACATCAAGAGCTTTTACACCAATGGCATGACATCACAGGTGCAACTGTGCACACACAGATGGATCACAGTGACTATCTTCAATGGTGGTGTTGTATCTCCTGCATTCAGAACATATATATGAACAGGATTTGCTGTTGATTAACTAAGTAGACTTTTAAGAAATTCAATCAATTCAAAGTTCATACACAATGGATAAATACATGCAAATAGTGAATGAAATTTAAATTTGAAATTCCTTGACATTATTATTCATAAAGTGATATATATGTTGGTGGTACTGTGAGAATGTTTGCTTTCATTATGTTTCATTTATGTAAATGACAATAACACATCAGATAAAATGTAATTAATTGCTTGGTTATTTTAACTTTTAACTTAAGTATGTTTTGAGAATAATGTGGTCATTTGATTCGGTAGCAGAGTTAGTATGATAGTACTATGTTAGCACACAGAGAACTTTGCATGAAACTTTAAAAAAAGTGCCCTGGCCTTGAAATATTTTGTTTTTGTGTTTCAGGAAGTTGACAACTGGAATCGAGTGGCTCACACATTGGACAGGCTCTGTATGTTCATCATAACTCCAATAATGATTTGTGCAACATTTGTCATATTTTTGATGGGAAACCTTAATCATCCTCCATCATTACCATTTGAAGGCGATCCCTTTGAATATTCAGCTGATCGCCCACGATGTTTGTAGCTTTCAATTATTCATGAACTACAGGATATCGCAGAAGATACTATTCCATTTACCCCCACTGCTCATCATCCAATCACTCTTCCCGTTCCCATTACACACACACAAGCCATGGCAATGTATACAAAGTTGGAAAATATACCATACAAATCTATACATATATAGAAACATGAAATAAATGTAAAATAAAAAATGCAATTGTGTGTGCATACGATAATGCATGCAGACATACATTGGTATTCTCACGGACAGATGGCGAGTTTTAAAACAAATTTCTCTCCCTTTTCTCACCACCTGTCTGTAAGCAGATTGTGATTTAACTTTTTTCCCCTTTCTTAAACAGTGGTGGTATATTTCCCTGCCTCCCGCTTTTTGTGGATTCTGACTTTGTAAGGCCACAACAACTCTACTGTAAAGTCAAACTGGAAGCAAGTTTTATATCACACACATAGGGCAGGTATGGTGATGGTGGGGAAGTTTGTAATAATTCACAATGCACACTTTGAATCATACAATGGGAGAGATTAAATTGAAACAGATGAATATACATTCAATTAGCAATAAATTAAATGTAAAACAATCGAGATATATTAATTTAGCAGTGGCTTTGCTTTTGAGATAGAATCCAAAAAAATCAAAGCTGGAGATGGCAGTCTGGAATTCCTTTGTGGTTGATTTTCCTGCTGTCCGTGAGGACTTTTATCCAGTTTCTTCTCTTTAAAGAAGTGTAGCTTTCTGAGAAACATTACTAAAAATATTGTCAGTAGATGTTGTATGGAGCAGCACTGACCCCCTAACTGATTGCTATTTTAAAATTGTAAGAGTGGAAGGCAGTTGGGTTCAGTCTATGGGAGTTATCTGACCAATCTTCCTGGGAAATGGGGAGTAAACAGTTACCATTCAGACAAAAGTTTGCATTGAAGAAATCAACTTTCCATGGCCCATCTCAGAAGTTAAGTATTAAGTCCTTTTACAGAGCAGGTGCAACTTTCAATTCTATTGTGTAAGGATTTTATTTTCATGGAGAAAACCATCACTGTAGCAGGTTATAAGGAAATAGCTAGTATTCCCATTCCATCAGGAAGTACATGGAGTTCATTGCCTGGCTGACATAGACTCCTGAGAAGCTTCTGGAAGGTTCTTCTAAGTCCCGATTATAGTAGCCATCCTTGTTGGACTGTTTAATTTTTTATAGTCACTAAATATATATTTGGATAGCCATTAAAGTTAGGTTTTGATCTGTTTGTGATATAATGAATGAGAATAATAGAAATGATGGAAAACCTTGAAATCAGCAGTTTATTTTCTGACCAGCCTATAATATTGATGTTGCGGAATCTTTGGCTGTAATAGTAGCATATATTGTGGTGTACAGCTGCAGCTTCATAGTTATATATTGGGTTGCAAATAGAGTCATAGAGTCATACAGTACAGAAACCGATCCTTCGGTCCAACCAGTCCATGCCGAACGTAATCCCAAACTAAACTAGTCTCACCTGCCTGCTCCTGGCCCATATCCCTCCAAACCTTTCCTATTCATGTATCTATCCATAGGCAAGAATTGAGATTTGAATGTACAGGGTGTGGTATTCCACACACAAGAACATAGCTGTGAGCATTGCTTTCTCAGAACAGTTAAAATGAAAATGTCTGCTTATGTATTTTTAAATGCCCTGGATTGCACAGCACTTTTTAAAATAGTTGGTTTGACACTATTCCACAATTATAATCCATACAGTATTATGTACAAGATGTGAGAAGTATTTTTATGATATTCACTCCAGCCAAAGGAAATACTGTATTCCAAAAATTCCAATCCCTGGGAGAGAATCAAATAGCTGATACTGCCAAAAAGAATCTGTGCTATTTCATAATCTATACACAGTATTATCATTAGTTTTGCAAACTTCTTGTGTAATTATGTATTAATAATTTCTATTTTGCATTGTATCAAAGTTGGCTTCAGTTATATTACACATGATATTAAGTAATGCATTATTCCTTGCTTAATCGTGTTATCTTTTGTTTCAAATACATTTTAAGAACAATGTTATAATTTGATTCAACTGGTTGTATATTCTGGCACCCACAGAGCAAAATGTAATTTGAACAACATTCTTTAAATGTACTCTATCTTCTGTTAGTCCCAGAGTTTTCAGGCAGGTCTCTTGTCATCTGCTCAGAAGAGTAAGTTAAAACTGAAATGCAGGATTCAGATCAGATATCACTGGAATGTTTTCTGATTAATTGTATCTGCCTGTTTTCCTCTATTAGGACTGAAATTGTTCTCCTGAACCCATCTAGGTTCCAAATAGCACTTTGTGTGGTTATGTCAATAATAGAAATATATTTGCTTGTCCACTATTAGATAAACATGCATGTTATCAATAGCTTAACAGAATTTGAAAATAAAGAATATCAAAGCACAAATGAATTTACTGGATAGCTACAGATGTGAGATTATTCAAAATACCTTTACAGGGTCAATATCCCTTTCTCTGCTGTTCAGAATGTATTATACAATTGACTGTGATACATTCAATTGCACCGTGCCAAGGAGCAGCATAATATGCACTCCAATGATGAAGACCCAAATCATAATATCCTGTTGGACAGTAAATAAACACTTTTCAAATGAGAAAAGATACAACCATCCATGCACCTCCTAGCATCTGGTTGCTACAGTCATGGGACCTGGTGCTTTGCAAAATTTACCACATGCAAATAAAGGAGAAGAATGTAATTCTTAAATAAAAGAAATAAGTATTTTGTTAAATACAAGTCAGGTTATGAGAACCACAGTATTTGAAAAATATAACAGTTTATTTTCAGGGAATTGAGCCTTTCTGCTTCAAACAGCAATGTAGCTTTGATATATTAAGAATCTTAATCCTTCTATGCAATTGTTCTGTTTGTTCAGTTTAGTTGTTTGGGTGAGGGAAATGCAAACTATTGTTGTGAGCTTAAGATTCTTCATTTCTTTGTTACATTTTCTTCAGCATGTCCAGTATGCAATAAAATCTATGCTGCCCTGCATCATCACCACAAGGAGCCTATACTTTCCAGAATCTAGAGAACGATGCACTCATTCTCTTGTCAAGGATATACATAAATAACCTGGAAGTGTTGAAATTCTGTAGTTGTGTTTAGTTGCAGTTCTTATAAGATATACTGGTGCATTTAATCAAAAATCAACTTTGGAATTCCAGCACTTATTTTTAAGGCTCAGTCAAAGATTTTAAATATTCTTATTATGTGGTTAGGTATTTACTTTTGCATTGGCATATTTTTGGGACAATCATAGATTAGTCATGGAAAAATGTTACAATTTATCATGAAATTTATGAAATATTATAAACAGACTGTTAAGTGAATCCAGAAAAACTCAATACATTAAGCTACTAATTTGACATCAGCAGTATTCTTTTACAATCCTTTTTTTCTAATGGAGCCAAATTAGTTCTCTATAATATAAAGTCTTATTCCCAGAATCAACCCAGTTTCTCTTCTATGAACTACCTTCCCTGAAAACAGTTGCAACCGGCCAATGAAAGAAAATTTGGATGAACCCATAATTTAGGGTGTCATGCTTTTGGCAACATACCCAACACAGTTCCTCTTTCTCCTCGGCGTTTTGTAAGACTGGCATGATTTTGCAGTATCAAGGGAGGTATAGGATATACCATCTTTCTAATTGAGGCCCTGAAGTAGGTAATTAAATCTCAATTAAGAACTTTAGCCAATATTGCTCCAATTTAACAGAGAGCAGGGAAGGCCTGCACTCAATGTGTACCTTTGCAGGTTTAATGCTGTGGGCTGCAAATCAGTGAAGACGGGATACAGATGGAAGGGTTCTTCTTTCCTGGGCTCCTGTGCCAATCAGGAGGTTTCCCAACCCTGCCTCCCTATTTTTCTCCACTGCATTGTCCAACGTGCCCTCCCATCCCTGTTGTGGGGGCCTGAGAACCCGACCCCTGCAATATCCTGGACTCACCTGGCTTTGAAGACATCCCTGGTTCCTCTTTCTCCTAGGCCTTCTGTAAGACTGGTGTGGCCATCGATCCTGGTGTGGTGCACAGCTGCCAGCCTCCAACTGACTGGCAGATCCATGAGACAGGGCATCCTCCTGACAGCAGATAGAAGTATTGCTTTACGTGTCCTGCCTGATATAAGGAAAAAGTTGTTGTCCAAAAACTTGGTGTGATCCAGCCATGCTAAGGTGAACTCATCCCCAAATGTTGAGCTGTGTACAGAGAGTTTGCCCTCAGTGTGTAATCTAGTTGGAAGGGTACAGACCTGCCATATCTCATTTGGAAACAAATATCAGAAAATGTAAGTTTGAATTATTAGTCTTTATTTCCAACTGAAAGGAAGTGGAACTGTGTGGTGTTCCTTTGCTGGAACTGGACTTGACAATTTTGTGCTTGGTATCTTTTGGGAAAAAAATTTACTGTCTAGCAACAGGGTTTGGATTGGTTTAAAATAGCAGTTTGACACTGAACTGAGAAGGGAGAAAGCAGTTGGAATAGTCATAGACCCATAGAGATCTACAACTCACGAAAAGGCCCTTTGGCCCATCAAGTCTGTGCTAGTCAAAATAAACTATTCTCATCTCATTTTCCAGCACCTGGTCCATAGCCTCCTATGCCTTTGGATCACCAATGCACATCTAAATAATTTTTAACTATTATGAGGGCTTATGCCTCTACCACTCTTCTAGGCAGTGAGTTCCAGATTCCCACGATCCCCTGGGTGAAAAACATTTTCTTCAGATTTCCTTTAAACGTTCCGCCCCTTACCTTAAATCTATGCCCCCAGTTATTGATCCCTCCACCCAGAGAAAAGTTCTTTTCTGTTTACCCTGTCTATGTCCCTCATAAATTTATACATCTTAATCATGAACCCCATCAGTCTCCTCTGCTTCAAGGAAAACAACCCCAGTCAATCCAATCTCCCTTCATAACTGTAACTCTCCAGGCAACACCCTGGTAAATTTCACTGCACCTTCTCCAGTGCAAACACATCTCTCCT